AATCTTCATGAGCACGCGTTCCAAGTTTTGAAGGTGTTCCTCAAACGTACGGCCCACGATGATGATGTCATCCAAGTAGACCAGACAGGCGTCGCCAATTAGCCCGGTAAGTACAAGTTCCATCAGCCTTTCAAACGTTGCTGGAGCATTGCACAACCCAAACGGCATTACTTTGAATTGACACAGACCCTTTCCCGTCGAGAACGCAGTTTCTCCTTGTCCTTAGGGTCAATTTCAACTTGCCAGTAGCCACTTTTTAGGTCCAGCGTGCTAAACCACTTTACTCCTGTAAGCATGTCCAGCGTGTCGTCAATTCTTGGCAAGGGATAGCTATCCTTCTTAGTAACGTCGTTCAGACGGCGGTAATCAACACAAAACCGCAAGCTGCCGTCCTTCTTCTTTACCAGTACCACGGGTGAACACCATGGACTAGATGAAGGTTCAATAACACCATCCTTCACCATTCCCTTAATCATGGTTTCCACTTCCTTTTCACGTGCTACCGGCAATCGTCTTGGCTGCTGACGGATAGGCAACTCTTCACCTGTGTTTATTTTGTGTTGAACTAAACCAGTCTTTCCTATGTCAGCATCGTTTGATGAGAATACATCGGCGTACTCGAGTAACAACTTCTTCGCCTTGAGCAATTCGTTCGGGGACAGAACACTGCGACAGTCTTCCAAAAGTGTGGTCACTCTCGTTTCTGAATCCTTGCTGGGGGTCCCACTCGATATATATTGGCACTGACGTAACCAATCCACTTCCTCACAAGTAACAACCAGTGTGCCTTTTTCTATAATCTGTTCCCGGTCGCAAAGGTTCAGCACACGTACTCCTGAGATGTCAGTGGTCCTGACCAAGGTTCGAGCTACTTTCCATGGAAGGTCATTGTTTACCCTTTCCACAAGTACACAACGGTGAGCTTGCCCAGCGTTTCGAGGTAGACTAACCGGAACAATCGTTTCCGATCTCGGCGGAAGAACAATCTTCTTGATGCTGTACACGTTCCCTGGTAACGCACCTTCCATAAAAAGTTCCTCCTGTCCACATTTCAAAACACCTTGCTTAACGTCGATCTCACAACAATTATTCCTCATAAAGTCTAGGCCTAGGATGCAGTCGTCCATTATATCAGCCACGATGACATTATGCAGGTAGATCACGTTGCCTAACTTCAACTCCATCTCCTTCTCTCCACGGACGGGTATACGCTGACCGGTGGCTGTTACCAAATTAATGCGTTCTCGGTTGTATGCGGAGTCCCCAAGGAACTGACTTATAAGTTGGGAACTAACAACCGTACGAGAGGCTCCAGTGTCTATGGTCAGCTTACACGGCATTCCGTTGATCTCGCCCTTTATGATTAGGCTGTTCCCATCATGGGTTTGTGAGATCGAGATCCTTGGGGCTCTTTTAACATCAGCCAGCACCCGCCCCGCAGTTCTGGCTTTTACTCGTTTCCCTGCCGCTGCTGGGCGGTGCTGTTGGCCGCACTACCCTCCTGAGATCGTTCAATTTCCCTTTCTAGGGTTCGCTTAGGGCAGCTGGATCGAAGATGGCCCTTTTCCCCACAGCCATAGCACCTTGGGCTGTATCCTTTGTTGCGGTCGCGAACTGTAGCTGCTGCAACCTCCCTGACGCGATGGGAACGATGATCCTGCCGCACGGCTTCCACTTCCAGTGCATGGGCCAAGGCGTCCTTAAGCGTCTCGTGGTGCCCGAGCCTCACAGCAGCTCTGACTTCCAGGTCGCGGATGCCGTCGATGAATGTCTGCACCAGGTTCCCTTCAATGAGCGCAGGTACAGACCGGTATGCTTTTCGCACCAGCTTCTCCACTTCTAGAGCCCACTGCTGCAGGTTTTCGTTGATGCGCTGCACACGATCTTTAAGCTGCGCACGAAAGACGTGTTCCAGGTGAGCGTCGCCCTATCTCGCCTCCAATGCCTCAAGGAGTTGCTCATAAGTCACTTCCTCACCGAGAGCTTCCAGAACTGTTAAGGCCTGGTCGCGCAGGCCTAGTGTGAGAGCAGTCATGGCCTGACTTTTATTCCAGCCGTTCGCCTTCATAACAGCCTCGAACTGGATTTTGTAGGCTGACCGGGAAGAAGTCCCGTCGAATGGTGGCACCTTGAACCCACGTAGCGAAGGTGTAATAGCTACTACGGGAGCTGTAGTTCCATCCCCCAGTTTGAGGTCGTCCAGCGTTTTCTTCACGTCAGCCATCACGTAATCAACCCGATTGTTTACTTGGCGATTTGGGTTTTAGCTTCCTTGATTTGGGTTTCAGCTTCCGACAGGCGGTTGTCATGCTGAGCAACCCTATCCTTCACCTCCCTAATCTCTTTCCCGAAGTTAGCGTGAATGTCCTTCACGAGGAGCATCTGCTCTTCCTGTCGGCGGGCCTGTTCCTGCAGCATCACCATCAGAGCACCTAAATCGGGTGCTGCAGATGTAGGAGCTACTGACGGGCCTGCAGCCGGCGGCTGGCCCTCCGACGTCAGCGGCGTTGCACCACCAAATCTTCTTTGGTCCGTCTCCTGCTGGCGTTGATTTCGGGTACGGACACCCTCCGTTTCCTCCTTAGGTAAAATCGGCATGATTTTATCCCACTTCTGACACCAATTGTTACGAGCTTGAGGTTCGTGACAATAAAAATTGCCGATAAAATTACCTAAATTAACACTTTAATTTACTTTACACAAATTAAAACTAAAAACACTAATAATTAAACACACTAATTCACTTAATTCCGCTCCGAAGCTTCGCTTGTGTCGCCGAGTTCAACTATATCTCTCGCATCTTGCAGCCCCTATATATTTAAATTAGCAAAGAAATATCCAGAATGTTCAAGTAAACACGCGCAAGGTACCGAGCGTTCGAGTTTCGACTAGGCGCTGTCGGTTGAGTGATTTGTGATGTCATTTTCTCAATGCTCCCCTCGCTCTCGTTCCTGACACTAGATGGCGCTAGTTGACTTATTCATGCAACACTATAATATGCCGGCGTAACTTGTCTACTTCTTCTTCCAGCTCCAGTATCTTCCCGTCAGTCCTCAGGGTGCGTGCGTTATATGTCGCCAGGTTACGTCGTCATAGGTGGCAACCGAACCTCCACCGGAGATTCTTAGCACCCCCCTGCGCGCGGCCGCCGGGGATTGGAGGCCGTTTGTTTGTGTCGTTGCTCATGGGGGGATGTTTGCCATAGTTGCCACGCTTGGCGAGCGGGTTGGCAACCGCAGTTATTTATTATATTGTTGTTATCAGAAAGATGCTGTTGCCCATCTCCTGCCTGTCTACCTCAGTCGCCTCTTACGACACTCACGGGAAGATATGTCACTACACGGCAACCGCCACTACACGGCACGAACAGCGGCAAAAACCAAAATAACTACACCAAATCACTAGCACAAAATGTCATCTGTTGTTTCATAATTGCCTTATTGGTTATTGGAATAGTGTTGCCAACTTTAACAGAAAAATAATACTATTTTACTTTTTAATGCATACCGTACTTGAATAATTTATGGTTTCCTTGTTTTTTCGAACTAAATTGTAAAGTGCCAATAATTGGAGGAGTGCCAACGATTGGGTGGTTTACCCTATATCTTTTTAAGACTAAAAAGCATCTTTCAGATATATCAGAAAAATCTCATGGCTTTCTATAGATGGCGGTATAACTATCTTGTTAAATATTAGCCGTAAAATATACAAACCGGCAATAAGAGACCGTGTTATCCGCTTGATTGATTCCGGGCCGCGGGCGAAATAACAGTACATTGTCCCGCCCATTTTAGCGTTAAACAAACCCTCGATGCAGTGGCACATTAGTAAAGTAAACGACCAGAGGGGAAGCTACATACAAATGGCTCGCTGCGACTATACCCATACATAACGCAAAAAAAATGTGTGTGCGATCTCTCACCGACGTTCCGTCGGGGTACAAACCGGTTTGCACCGGCTCAGTCAGACTATCCATGAAAGGGCTGTGTCGTGCGTATTTAAATATATGGAAGAACAATATTTCGTGATTTAATAAATCATTTACTTTTTAATTTTTTTTTTACTATTAGAGTTAAATCTCTAGACTTAACTCTAATAGTAAAAAATTTATTGTTTATATAGATTGTTTATTATAAAATAAGACATAGATTTATATAAGTAATTAATTAGTGTTCTGTATAAATGAATGCCTAACAGTTTGTACAGTAAGTATAAAAATTCGAGAGAAAATAATACAATTACCAGATAATGGTAAAGGTGGTGTTAGTGGTAGTGGTGCAGGTGTTGGTGGTAGTGGTGCTGGTGGTGGTGGTCCACTACCCACCACCACCAACACCGGCGCCACTAATACCACCACCACGACCACCACACCACCAGTCATTACCACTACCACTACCACCATAACCACCACTACTGCCCACTACTATTAATAGAAATATATAATATGAAGCTTCTGTGAGAATACCTATTTCCTTAAAATTCTCTGGAAGGGATTCGTGCGGTTTTTAATTATAAATTGCACGTATTTTCGCCGCTTTACCCTACAGCAAGATTCCATAAGACATAACCTTATGAAAATTAGCAAAATATACAATATTTGCAGTTTCTATTTAAGTTACAATGAAACCACATGTTGTTTTATACTATATAATATTGTTATTTTTTTCTTAAATTTTTCAACGTTGGTAGGAAGCTTCCCCTCTGGTCCTTACTCCTAAAGGTCCGTTTATATCTACAGACATTGAGCGTGCCAGACACGTGCCGTGGCAGACCAAATAATATTCTTCTACACAGTGTTTATGACACAGGCCGGACCACTTTTTTCTTCGTTTCCACTAAAAATTCACATGCGCAGCCACTTAACACACAAAATCGCATTAAAATCCACTTCAAACTATTACTGAAACTATAAACAGGAGCAGCTATCTACCAGGAGTTAAGTTCCCGCCAAAATCTACTTGATGCATATAATAAAGTGTGTAAAGAGTTAAAATGCGCACTTGCTGCTCCTCGAAGGCGAGCTGCACGCCGCGACGCGCGGCCTCGATCTCGTGCATCTGGTGCAGCAGCTTCTTGTGCAGCTTGCGGCGCGGCAGTTTGCAGTCGGCGCGAGCCTCGCCCGACTCGCCGCCTGCCCCGCCACCCGCGCTCCCGCCCGCGCCCACCACGCCGCCCGTCACCCACTCCCATCTGCACGAACACATCACTCGCATTTATTGGGTGGGTTTGGCAGAAAAAAGCGCTAGCAAGCGCTTGTAAGCAAAATGGCGAAACTAAACAGTTTTCGGCCAAGACACGTTTGCTAACTTCAATAGCGCTGACACAATCCGCCATTTTGCTTATTTAATTTGTTTGTTTTGAAGTAGAGTTTATAATTTGTTTTGTGCAATATTAGCTTTATGTAATATAATGACATGAATAGACATATACATGTTATTAAAAATTCTTGATTGGTAAGTTTTTAATATGAATACTTTAGAAACATATATTTAAATTAGGTTAGGTTCCCCGGTTAAAACTAACTTCGTGTCCTAAAGGAAAATAGCTACTTCTTCGATTCGACAGCGCTTACCGCTTATAATCGTCATTTTGCTTACAAGCGCTTGCTAGCGCTTTTTTCTGCTAAACGCACCCATTGTCTCCTGCTACTCCTTGTTATTTACTAATGTACTAACATCCACCTTTTTTATACAATAAGTGTAAGAATCGAGCACACAATCCACTTGATAGTAAGTGACATAGCTCATAGACATCTACATCTATCCCCAATTAAAACTCAAAACGCAGATGCGTTTTCTGCTTGCTCTCTGTCTAACCTGGTACTCGCTCGTATATATCGGCGTAATTTTAAAGACGTTTACACGTGTCAAGAGAAACATTACTACAACAAATTACTAAGTAGCAGCTACATACCTCTTATGTCTCTGTGCACCTGCTGTGGCATGGTGTTGAAGTGGGGGCGGTGGAGGCTGTGCAGCATCAAGCACAGAAGCCAGAGCCGTGAGCAGCGCAGTTAACAACGCAGGCTGAGGCTCGGAGCTCTCAAGTAGCGACAGGACTCGCGTGGCTAACGCACCCGCTACGCCCAAGCCTCCAGTATGCACGTGCGCGTACATGCTCCTGCGGCACATGTACATCACTACCACGAGGCATCTGTAGACGAGTGGAAACACAAATATTACTCGAGTGAAGCAATAAAAATAGTAATATGTTTTTGTCTAAATGTTTAACTACGGCATAAATGGGTCAGCTAGAGCAGAGTGAGATCACGCTCTCATAGAATACCAGTGTGAAATAGAAAAACAATGGCTGCTGTGAGTTTAATGTAGAAACACATAGACAATTTTAACGGTAACAAGGCATTTTATCTTAGTCCTCAGGGGTGACAGCATGTCTGCATTTTAATTCTGAAATGAGGACAGATGTAGATTCTGTGAGTTACAATATCCCCTTAGCTCCAGGTGGAGTGTGTATTTCGCTTGACAATCTTATTCAATAAAAAAAAAATTGGTTCCCACACCAAATATTATTAGAACGAAAATTGCGGCGGTGACTGTCGCCAAACATACACAATACTTCGATCGGTGGGCTACAGCCGAGATTTTTAAAACTAGTAAACAAAGTTCAAGGCGACAGCATGAGAGCGTGATAGGCGTGTGTATGTGTGAACATGTGCGTGTGTGCGTAGTGAGTGAGCGCGTGCAATGCCTGCCTGTCGATGGCGAGCGGCGGCGCGTCGTGATCGGAGAAGGCGTCGGCGAGCGCGTCGGCGAGGCAGTCGCCCCACCAGCGCGCGGCGCCGCACACGCGCGCCAGCAGCGCGCCCAGCGCCGCTGCACTGCGCGCGCCGCTCGCCCACACCAGCCGCAACACCGCACTGCACCACGAGCGCGACACCTCCGGTATTCGCTGCGCACACGATTCACTACTTAACACCATCCTTACTACATAACTATATGCTATAGTATAGTATAGTTATAGTTACAGCCTATATACGTCCCACGGCGGGGCACTGGCCTCCCCTCATTTCTGAGAGGGTTTTAGGGCTAAGAAATGTCCGCCGCGCTGCCTCAATGCGTGTTGGCGAACTTCACATGCCTTCGAAATTTTCTTATTCAGGTTTCCTCACGGTGTTTTCCTTCACCGCCGAGCACGTGATAAATCCAGCACTTAAATGGCAATTAAAAATTTCATTGGTGCCGGCGGGGATCGAACCCGGGTTACTCACGTTCTGTTATATTTACAGCGAGCGCTAACCATCTGTTGAAACCTGCAAGTTCTCAGTGGAACAGCGAATAGAGTGTGGTTACGCGGAAATGATTCGTGTATTTTATAATTTTGTTCGAGGGTATATTGCTCGCCAAGTGTCTGTCCTTCCTGTATCCTCATATCCCTTCTGTACGCACTGAAGGGGGAGGGGGGTCTAAACGGTGACGCGATTCTTTCGACCAATAAAACTCGCGCCCCACCGAGATGAGGTGGTGGGAAGGCCGACCCAATAAAGGCTCGCGCGCAGCCCAAGAGCGCCTTTTTGCTTCGCACCGCTAGTTTCGATCGCATCCCAGGGGCAGTCCCACCCCATAAGTAACCGCCTCACGTTATGAGAGCAATCGTCGCGCCAGAGCTTTCAACGCACCACCACAACAGAAGCGTCGCCCCGCGGCAACAGGATCCCGGTAAGTGTGTTTCCTTTTACATAGTTTCCTACTTGAGCCTTTTTGTTTTGTTAGCTGACCCGCCCCATTTTTTTCTCCTTACCGGCTCAAGTAGAACTTCCTCTCGACCTTGGCGAAGCAATAGGTTTGGAAGAGTGAGATTGCATTGTCCAAGGCTGTCGTGTGCCACGTCCGCCATCTTGTTGAGGCATAAGAAGCCCGCGTACACAGTTCACCTAGCAACATCTCGCGTAATAGGGTCAAGGCCCAACCTGGGAATAAAACTCGGTAGCCCCTAGGCCCATCGCTCAACCAGAGTGTCTATTTTCAGCACCTGCTCCGAAATGAAAGGAGTTAAAATTGCAATTTATAAGCAAATATTAACAACTCACCTCATCTTCCATCGAGAACACGAAGTGCAGAAGCATGTCAACTATATTCTCTCCAATAACTCGCAGCTTATCAGTCGAGGCTCTCTCAAGCAGAGATTCTGATGTCACGAGACCCTTAGTTATCGCCTCTACTGCTCGATCATTGCAGTCAGAGCTATTTTGAAGCTTCTTCAATATATTATTGCAATTGTGCAACTGTTGCTGCAAATCTATGCACTCCTGGTATGCAGTAATCACTTTAGGGTCTGCCTCATTGGCTAAGTTGAAATAGGCCATCATATGAGCTGCATTTCCATTGTACAGGTCCAGATATGGGTTCAAAAGGTCCATAAGCTTTCCTGTTGCTAACCTGTTATGAATAAAAAGTACATTGTATAAAATCTTAATTTTACGTCAATTTTTCTAAACATAACTAACATATTACATTGTAACAAGGACCATTTGTTAAATCGCTAGATTTGTGCATTACTTTGTACCTACCTACATTACGTATAAAGCAGAAGTGAGGCCAAACAATATGACATACCTTAATCTGCAGCTAAGGTCCTCTTGCAGTGCATTTAGTGCGTTGATAGACGCCTGCACATTAGCAATTTCAGCAATCTCACCATAAAACCAGCCTAGTGGGATCTTACACTTCATTGCTGACATGCCATATCGACCAATTGTAGTAATCTGTAACAAAATCGTACATTTTTATATTTTACACTAACATAATAATATATGAAACATTATTATGCTATTAAGCAAAAGAAAAATTAAAAATTAAAAACACTTTCCCGCCATTTCTTAATTGTTTATCTGTCGGCCAAAATAAATAAATCTAACGAAGTAATGCGATACCTCTCAATGGCATATCACGGTTATCAATATTTTTTAAATATATTGTTACGTTTGCATGACAACAGCGAAAGTGATAAAGTTGTTCACGGGTGCTCTCTACGACGCGCTGTGGACGACTAGCGGGTGGTAGTACTGGGCGTTTCATTCAGAAACAGTTTTAAAAAACAGTTTGTCAAAGAAAAACGAACAAACAGTTTCTCGAAGATCCAACATTAGGTTTAAAAACGAATGAAATAAATACAGTTCTACATTTCATTCTCAGAACTGTCTCAATCGCAAAACGTTTACAAAATACATGTTCATTTGGTAGATTCATAGGTTGGATCAAGTTAATACTCTATTGCTATTGCTTTATGAACTATTGTCGTATAAATAGAAAACAGTTATAGTAACTACTTTTGATTTGACGTTACGCTTAAAGCTAAAATAAATCTTATTTATATCTATACACAATTCAAATTTGGTTGTAGACGGTTGAACAAAAACGAACAGACCGAGAAAAAACGGTATTTTCGGCTTTCTCTTATTCTTTTATGTAACTTTTTGTGAAGATCGGCTTGGTCAAACGTACGTTTTTTGTTTTAAAATTTAAATCAGTTTCTTTTTAAATTTAATTAATTCTTTTGTCGTCAAGTAACGCTTGTCTACGCTTACTGTGTATTTCCAAAGAAGTGACTATATGTTTACACGCGAAAAGCGTTTTGTGTGATTTATTGTATATATTAATTGTTTAATAGTTTTGTAGGTAATTTTGTGAATATAGGTAAATTTGTGAATAATAGTTTTGTACTTTTGTTATTAAAACATTTCGAATTTCCTAAAAAGTGACTGTATGTTTACGCGCGAAAAATGTTTTGTGTGATTTATTGTATATTAATTTTGTTTAATAGTTTTGTAGGTAAATTTGTGAATAATAGTTTTGTACTTTTGTTATTAAAACGTTTTTTTTTGTGTAATTTAGTGACATACTTTCGAAAATGTCTCAAAAAAAAAATGCTAGTGAAATATGGAACTACTTCGAAAAGGTGGAAAATTTGGGAAAGGCGATCTGCATTACGTGCAGAGAAAGTTACAGCTATAAATCGACTATGGCGAACCTGAAAAACCATCTTAAAAGAAAGCACGTAAGTTTATACCTCTCACTACCATCACAAGTGCAAAGGTCCGAGACTCTACCCCCTACCACTCCGTCAGCCTGTAGTGTAACTGAACTGATGCCAACAAGTATTGCCAGCTCATCTGCAACAAATAGTATAGAGGAGAACCGACAAAAAGCTGCAATTAGTACAACTCCCTCTGGGGATAATAGACCAGAAGGTGCCACAGAAACCCCTAACCCGAAGCAAAAAAGGCAAAAGATAATGGATGCTTATGTCCCAAAAAAAATTTCTAAACAGCAAAAGCAGATAATTGATCGCGATGTGTTAAGAGCTCTGCATAGACTCTTTTCATACTTTTTGCATCGTGGAAGAACGTGCATTTAAAAAACTAATGCGTTGGATACCGGGATATACTTTACCATCCCGGAAAACCTTATCCAATAGCCAATTAACTTTGCTATATAATAACACAAAAGAAATAATTAAGCCACTTATTAATACAGATTGTGATGCAATCTGTGTCACATTAGACTTGTGGACGTCACGGAAAACGGAGTCGTACATAGCTGTCACTGGACATTTCATTAGTCGTGACTTTCAATTGAAAACTATTCTTTTAGATTGCTGTAGTTTTTCTGGACATCACACAGCAGTGAATATAGCTGCAGAATTACGGCGTATATTAGATGACTGGGATTTAACCCGCAAAGTCAACTTTGCGGTTTCGGATAACGCCTCCAATGTTACCAATGCCGTGAAAGACCATTTGGGCTGGAAGCACTATGGCTGTTACGCCCATACTCTCAATTTAGTTTTACAAGATTCTTTAGACTATTTTAAGGACAATTTAGGAAAAATTAAAAAAATTGTTGCATTATTTCATAAAAGTACCACGGCTTCAGAAAAATTAAATCAGCAACAGCTTTTTAATGGAAAGGCACCGAAACGGCTTATACAATCTATAGAAACAAGGTGAAATTCCACATTTTATATGCTAGAGCGTATCACACAGATAAAGGATGAAGTTAAAATTACCATAGCTCTTCTCAACAACAATTTACCCATCATTTCGGAAGAGGAGTGGTCAATATTTCCAGAAATATGCCGAATTCTGAAGCCTTTTGAGGAAATGACTGCATGCATGAGTGGTGAGAAATATGTCACTGGAAGTGATGTGATTGTGGTTACCAGAATTTTGAAGCAATCGCTTGAAAGTACGGTACCACCCAATTCTGGAAATATGTAATCTTTTTTGAACGCACTACGGTTCAATTTTAACAAAAGGCTTGGAAACGTAGAAAAAAGTGGTACATTTTCTCTGTGCACTTTCTTAGACCCCCGGTACAAGATGGCCGCTTTTTCGGACCCAACAGATGCGGAAAATACAAAACGTCGTGTACAAAATCACGTCCAAGACCTGATTGCACGGAATTGGCATCCAACATCCGAAACCGATCCGTTCACGTCATCGGCCTCAAGCAGCAGTTACATCACGGCCTGGAGCATTTTGACCAATTTATGTCCACCACCGTCACGAAGCAACAAGGAACACCTCTTTCGAAAGCTATCAAAGAGGTGCAAAAGTACGTCGATGATGACATTTTGCCACGTAAAGACGCTTCTGGTAACCTGTCAAACCCTCAAGCGTAGTGGTATAGTCATCGCCTTATTTACCCAAACTTGACAGAAATTTTCAGAACCAATTGCAACATAGTTGCAACATCTGTGAGTTGTGAACGTATGTTCAGTAAAACTGGCCAAATAACATCAGACAGGCGAGCCAGTTTAAAGACGGATAAAGTGCGGCAGCTTATGTTTTTAAACGTAAATTTAGACCAAAACCGATTTAATTTGTAAATATCTTTTGTTCTAGTATTGTAGATAGTGTAAATAATGAAAACGTGTATATAAAATGAACTTTTAAATACGCCTGTTACATTTGTCAGCCAGTCCTAAGCCTGGAAAAAGTATGAAGGGAAGTTCGTTTTATTATTTTGTAAACAAACATATGGTGAATTCGGTACGTACACTGACGGGATTTTTTGTGAAAAACTGTTTTTTTTAAAACTGTTTCTCAGAACTGTTTCTCATTTCAAAAAAACGGTTTCGTTTCGTTTTACAAAAAACCTGGAACGACCCAGTACTAGCGGGTGGCGGGCCTGTATGGTCGGCCCGCGAGCTATTTAATCGCACAATATTTATTCCATATTTCTTTTTAAAATGATATATACTTTTTTATTGAAAAATTAACCCATAATTCCCTCACGTATTTACTGGTGAAACACAAAAAAAAGTGAAAAATACGGCTCAAGCCGCAAAACATTCGTGACGTTTATGCACTAGGCGTGAGACCGATATATCAAAACATAACTATAATAACGTTATGTTATCAAAATATCACATCATATCCATACACCTAAGTATATAACCGTTATCACATATCCAACCAAAACCAAAATACCAAAACGTACGAAAATTACGAAATGTAAAACGAAAACTGGAACGAAAACGATAATATGCCGACACAGCCTTTTAGCCACATTAGTGCCGGTGGGGATCGAACCCGGTTTGCTCGCGTACTGTGAAATTTACAGCGAGCGCTAACCATCTGAGCTACCACGGCTCTTAATAGTATAGTATAGTTTAAGTTAATTTAGATTTTATAATATACATATTTGTATATAATTTATTGTACCGTTTAGTGACGGTGTAAAAATATCCATTACCCCATATCATCCCGTGGCGTGACTGTCGTAAAAGACGACAGAAGGAGACAGCTATATGTTCTTTGAAGCATTAACGTTCCGGGAAGTCTGCAGTTTGTGATCATATCCTAGACGGCCCCAACCATTACATCAGATTTGATAGACCACAAATCCTCGCGAAAGAGCACCGATTCCTACCAAGGATGATGCGTGAGGCTATCGAAATTAAAAAACTTCCTAATTTCAATAGAGAAAGACGCTGTGTACTAACCACCTGCTTGGGACCCTATAATCAATGAAATTAAAACTAAACCCAAGCATACCATTTCAAGGCCTCAAAATATAGTTAGTTCATTTTGCATGGATCGAACCATAAACAATAATTAAAAAAGCTGAAGGTACTCCGGGTTTAACACTGACATCAGGACGTCAATCACCTCAGTCCCCCGTGACCATGGGTGTTGAAAAGCACCCGAAACATCGGGAATTAAAAATAAAAATAATTAAAATAAAATTAAACGCGATAAAATCCGTAAAAGTAGTTTTAATCAATGTGTAGTTTTCGCGTAAATATAAGAAATCATTACAGTTGTCATTTTTAATACAATTAGACAGTCAATTGTACCCTGACGCAACAAACAGTTCGTTACTACAAAAATGATATTGACATTAATAAACGTACCTAATTGGGTACTTACTTACACAATTATAAACAAAATTTCATCGTTATCTTTGATTTTGTACAAGAAAATAGAAATGAAATGGTACTGAATAATTTAATAGTTAAAATCAACTGCAATTAACTAATGTAACTAATCTATCACAATTAATCTAGAAAATAATTCTTTTACTTTATTTTAATTGCCTGTCCTTTTTTTAATCCGTTCAATACTTTGAATTTAAAAAGAGGTAAGTCAAAACTATTAAAATTAATTCCAAGTTTTATTGTGATTGCCGCCTCTAATTCTTATTTCGCCTGCAAATTTTAGTAAGCAAATTTCGGTTTGGCAACGCCGAAACTTGTGTGTGAAAGGGAAGGGTAGAGTAAGCGTAAATATAATTGTTTCGTACCGAGCTCGAGTACCGATCACCGAGTTTGTACCGAGTTCAGCGTCTGCGCGTTTTTTGACCCTCAGCTGTCAACAAATCAGCTGATTTCAGGTATTTTAGGAATTTATTGAAGTTTCACTGCTGGTTTTATGTTTAGGTATTTTCATGATTTTTTTTATGAAATTATCGTTTCAATTAGCTGTAGTAACATAATAGAGCGTGAATAAAGCTATTTAAGCGTTGTATAAAATATTTTTTATCATCGGTATCGATTGTTTTTGTCCCATTATCAAGGGTATCTTTAGTACTATCGTCGGTCTTCGTTTTCGGGAGCGTTTCAAAAACATCCGGTATAATATACAAAGAAACTTTTTATATATTTAATATTTTGTTGACAATAATTTTATTAATTAAAATTAACTGTTTTTATTTATCCACTATAACCACAAATAATTAAAATAACCAACCTTCATGTATCGGCAGAGCGGCGGCGGCTGTATGTCAGTGAGGACAAGATGCTTAGAAGCGATGTCAGTAGCGAAAGCCAGTTTGATGCAGTCAGTCTCCTCGCCCACTACCCAGATGTCGATGCACAGCGTAACCAGATCCGAGCACGACGGGATTATCTACAAAATAAAATTCATTTTAACCTGTATCTTTGTTTCTATACTGATCAATTATTTAGTATTAAGATTATTCAAATTCAAATAGCCTTTATTTCTGATAATATACTACAATTTGGAGAATTATTATTATTGCAACATATTAAAATTTATTGTACCAACTAAATTATATTTTATAATAACAATTCAATTTAATCTTCGACATTGGTAACGTTATTATCAGCTTGCCATTTGGCATAGGCCTCCTCTATGGTTTTCCATATTTCCTTGTTTACAGCTTCTCTTTGCCATGTTGTTGTGGCTATTTGCTTGATGTCATCCTCGCATCTTAATTTCTGGTGCCCTTTCCGTCTTTTTCCATCTCTGAGGTACCATACAGTCACATTTTTTGTCCATTTTTCCTTTTTGTTTCTTATCATATGGCCTGCCCATTTCCACTTAAGTTTTTTCACTGTGTATGCGACATCTGTAACTCTTGTCTTACTTCTTATATTTGTTAGTTTGATTTTGTCCCGTAGCTTGATGTTTAGAATGATTCTTTCCATTCTGTTTTGACACACTGTTAGTGCTCTACTCTGCTTCTTAGTGAGGGTCCAGGTTTGTGCTCCATAGGTTAGACAAGGTAGTATGCATGAGTTGAACACTGTAGTTTTGTCTTTGAGGTGTATGTGTGGCTTCTTCATAATTTCTTTGAGGGACCATAATCTTTTCCAAGCTTTACTTATTCTGACATTTATTTCTTTCTGCATCTGATTCTCTGGTGCAATAATTTGTCCTAAATATGTATATTCGTCGACATACTCTATTTGGTTAGAATATAGAAAGATTGGTGTTTTTATATAATTTGTCATTACTTTTGTTTTACCTAGATTCATAGTCAACCCTACAATTTTACTTTCTCTTTCTAATTGGGTTAACATTATTTCTAAGCCTTCTTGATTTTCATTGAGCAGAATCAGGACATCTGCGAATCTTAGGTGATTAAGCATTTCACCATTTATATTTATTCCAAATTTATCCCAATTAATTCTCCTGAATATATGTACTAATACCGCCGAAAACAATTTTGGTGAAAGGAGGTCTCCTTGTCGTAGTCCTTTTTTTATTTAAATGCTGGACCTTTCCTTTCAGTCTGGATTTTTGATTTAGATTCTTGGTATAATTTTTTTTATTGTCGTAATATACTTTGGATGTACTCCTTGTGATCGCAGAGTTTCCCAGATGTATAGATGCCTCAAAGAGTCGAATGCCTTATTGTAGTCCACAAATGCCAGATAGTATTTTTTTCCATAATCATTGCTTTTTTGAATTATTTGTTTTACGACATGAATATGATCCATTGTTGAAAAATCACTTCGGAATCCCGCTTGTTCTCTTGGCTGATTTTCATCCAATACTGAGCTGATTCTATTTAGTATTACCTTTGCAAATACCTTGTATAGATTGGAGATGAGGCTGATCGGTCTGTAATTGATTATTTCTGCTTTGTTGCCCTTTTTATGGAGCAATATGATAGTTGATGATGTCCATTGTTGTGGTATTACTTCTTCAGTTAGAATATTGTTGAACAGATTTGTAATGGCCTCTATAATGTGGTCTACACAAGCTTTCAAAATTTCGTTTGTTATTCCATCGTCTCCGGGAGCGTTATAGTTTCCTTGAGACAGTATGGCTTTTCGTACTTCGGTTTCTAGTATTGGAAGGATTAGTCTCTTCGTTGTCTTCCTGAAGGTATTGCGTGTTTATGTAGTCCATGTCATCATATAGTTTGCTATAAAACTCTCGCTATTTCTATGATTTCAGGCCGTTTTGTTTCTCTCTTCCCAGAAGTCTTATTTTTTATGCATGGGATCCATGATGTATTCTCTTTCAGATCTTTTAGGGCTCTCTTTGTTCCTCCCGATTTCTCAAAATGTTTTTGAATATGAATATGCTGTATTGAATAATCCTGTTTCTTATTTGATTCCTGTGTGTCCTGATTTTTTCAGTTATTTGTTTACTTAACTGTATTATTTGATTTCTATTTTGTTTTTTGTTTTCTAAAAGAGTTTTTCTGGCTTCTATAAGGCGTCTTGCTTCCTTTCCGATTTTATCTTTTTTGTTCTTTGAGGTGTACAGTTTTGTAGATATTTCTTGTATTGTTTCTTCCATTAGGTTATATTTTTCTTGTACGTTTTTAATCTTGTTACAAGTCAATGTCTTATCCTTCAGCGTGGTCAACAAGTTTTGTAGGATGGAGAGAGGGATTTGAATTGGTTGAATTCTTTTCTTAGTGCATTGTCTTCTTTTCTTGGGTTTTTTGAGATAGATTGTTCCCCTTACCATCCTGTGGTTAGTGTTAAAGTTGAATTTATTAATTGTATCTATCTTTAAAAAATTGGAGTTTATTAGAGAGTATAAAATCTATCTCATTCTTCACATTGCCGTCGGTAGATATCCAGGTCCATTTTTGTTTATGTTTTTCTTAAGGAAGCTATTTAGGATTTTGAGGTTATATACCTGTGCCAGGTTCACGAGTTTTTGTCCGTTATTGTTTCTTTTTCCTGTGCTAAACTGACCTACTATACCATCCTCATTTGGTAGTCTTTTACCGATTTTCCCGTTGAAATCTCCCATCAAAAAGACTGTTTATGGGCATTTGCAAGCGTTTTCTCCAGGTCAGAGTCCTTTACGTCGTTAGGTGCTACCTCTGTTGGTGCATCTATTTGGATTATTGATTATAATTTCATATCCCGGCAAGTTGATATTGAGTTGTGCGATTCGTTCGGAGATTCCAGTGAAAGACTGTACGTATTCTCTGTAGCACTTTTTGATAAGAAATCCGACACCATGTAGGCCTGGAGTTTTTCCTATATGATAGAAAATGTAGTTGTCATGTTGTTCAATTTTTTCGCCCATTCTCCTAACTTCGCTTAGGCCAATAATGTCCCAGTTTATAAAATCTAAGGCATATTCAAGTTCCTGTAGGGATTAAGATTATTGGTCATGTTTTAATCTGGAAGCCTTTTCCATAAAACACCTCTAGCCACGGCGTAACAACATTCGCGAAATATGACATTTGCTTCCAAATTACACATACTTTACATTTACTTTTTGTTCGCATATTTTCCACAGGACTTCCTTTCGTGTAACGGATTATCAATATTTCGACATTTTATCATCTTCGTCTATTTCAAAAGATTCATGATCATTAAAACAAAAATTAAATGATTATCCTAATCATGACTACAAAAATATATCTAGAATATATATAGAATTTAATTATGAAATTATAAAAATGAAATTTTACAACAATAATGAGTTAATGAGTGAGAAGAGAGTGTTTCTATAAATGTACTTACAACATCGGTAAGACGAACGGTGTGTCCAAAGTCCAAAACAATATATCGCCTTGCTCCCGAGTGCATCCGCTCCACTACCAGTGTGTGCTGAGGTGGCTTGGTAACTAGCGACGCCCACGGAATGCCACATTGATCTTGATCCTAGATAACAATATCATTGAAAGGCAATTTAATTTTTTTTAAAAGCTTCAACTTAAATTTTGACACAGATGAACAATATACCAAAAAAGTTAACACTCCAAAAATAAAAGGAGTAAACTGGAGATACCTTAAAGATTTTGTCCTCTGTAAATTCGGGTTTTTCTTGTGAATCACACTCCATCATTGATATCTCAATATCGTCAAAAGACTCAGGGGCTTGAGATGGTTGCTTGGTTTGACCCTCTTCAACTGCTGTCCAAAGCTGTAAAAAAGTATTGAAAGTTAAACAATGAAACCTTTTCTTAAATAAAAAATTGTCGTTCTGAATATTACGTAAGGTGTAGAAATAGTTTTAGTCGAAATGTTATATTTGTTACAATTTTATTCGAAACACATATTATAAAGGTAGTACAAATTATTTTTTCAGAGAGTTAAGGCCGAATACGAAGAGAACTAGCGAAAATTAATGTATTTCTCTTGACTAGAACTTTGACCTGAAGTAATTCTAAGCTTTAAAACATTTTTGTAGGTTTGTTCAGGTCCTTCACAAATTGAACGTCATTTTAAAATTTTAAAATAAATGAATATACCAACAAATAAAAAAATGTTAAGAAATGATATATAAAATTATTGTTCTTCCAAAACTCTGTGAATGTTAATTTAGGAAAAATTCTTTTACGTAAAAATGTTTGTATTGTGATTCCGAAGGTGACTGCTATCTTTATTTTCGATACAAAATATTATTTATTAACATAATTCGTTTTAATTAAAAACACCTAATAATAATATCGTATATTGCCAGATAAAAGTTTGCCGTAATAAATTACCAGGCGCTTCGACGTGTGACGTAAGGTAACAACAGTCGATGTGTCTGTAGCGAAAATCGTTAATTTAGTGTTTTATACGCGTTTAAGTGACTATAAATGTAAATATGTGTAGGAAAAGAAATAAATGTTACCTAAGTGGTAAAACAAAGAGAGTTTATCGCATGAAGGTTGCTCGAATGTTGTATTTTGAGGTTAATATTATATTTTTGTAAGGTAATTTTTTGTTTGAGGCTGCCTAATAGGTTGCATTTTTACTCATTTACATTAGCCAAACTGATCATTTATACTTTTCTATTTTCAAGTGAGAAACACTAAAAATGTAAATATCAAGACCAAGTCGGAAAAGAATGTACAGAGTAGTGCAAGCACAGAGACCGCAAATAATGTCATAGTCAATGTATTATCCGAAAGCATGGGGTAAGTACATAATTAAGAAAAACCGAAATACTTCGGATGGGAAGTGATTGACCAGTCGGAGTAGTCTTGTAAGAATTTACATACACAGTACCTTATCCCCACTATGGGGCAATCACCGACTTTTTTTCTTTTTTTCTTTCTTTATTATTTATGCAATTTGTATTACGGCATCTTGTAAGACTCACAAGAACAAACATTTTCAGTTATATGAGGTTCTTTACGTACGATGCACCAATTAAGAAAAAAAAATCGTTATCAATTCAATAACTTTTCGAACAATATTTTATAACGAATAAAGTACAGAATTTATAATCTATAGGAACTAATATTATAAATAAGAAAGATTTATTTAAGAAGTAAGCAATGCTCTCTGTGTTGTTCATTACTCTGCATACTAAGCTAGCTCAGTCAAATATAATATAATCAAAGCCCGTACGGCTTTGATTATATTATACATGTCTATATAAACAAAGCGTACTGGCGGCGCGTGGTTTGCTGCGAAACGAGCAAGGTCATTCGCGTCGTATTCGGCCTTAATAATTTTTTTATAAAACTGAATTGATTGAAGATTTCATCATCAAGAAGCTTTCATCAGGTGGACTTGTGTGTTCGTTAGTCACCCTTTTTGTAAATATAAAAATAACTAACAGCCCACCAGTTCTAAATGGCTACTGCAGCCCATGGATAGCCCAACTAACTTCAAACCATAAAAGGCTACAGATGCAATATTATATATAATTAACTAACAGCCCACCAGTTCTAAATGGCTACTGCAGCCCATGGATAGCCCAACTAACTTCAAACCATAAAAGGCTACAGATGCAATATTATATATAATTAACTAACAGCCCACCAGTTCTAAATGGCTACTGCAGCCCATGGATAGCCCAACTAACTTCAAACCATAAAAGGCTACAGATGCAATATTATATATAATTAACTAACAGCCCACCAGTTCTAAATGGCTACTGCAGCCCATGGATAGCCCAACTAACTTCAAACCATAAAAGGCTACAGATGCAATATTATATATAATTAACTAACAGCCCACCAGTTCTAAATGGTTACTGCAGCCCATGGATAGCCCAACTAACTTCAAACCATAAAAGGCTACAGATGCAATATTATATATAATTAAATTAAAAAGGCAAAGAGCGAAGTAAACTGATTTTATTACTTTTTCCTGACCCACATGTCTCAAGGCCTTAAATATTACCATTTGCGTATTCTTGCCGTTAGAAGGTCAATGTGATAGTGAAAACTTAATTTATTGTCAATCATTATGCCTAGGTATTTAGTTGCGTCTGTGTTTATAAGTTTTGGGCATGCACAGTTTGTATCATTGGAATTATCACACAAGTGTGAAACAATTCGATGCGTAGGGTCAGGCTTATCAGTGTTTTTAGTGATGTAATTTGTCTTTGAAACATTGAGTGTTAAAAGGTTCTTGTATAACCAACTCGTTACAATATTCATTCCTTTTTGAGCATTTGAGAAAACCTCATCCCATGAACTGCCACTGAAAAGGAGGACCGTGTCGTCTGCAAAGGTAATTATTTTTGCATTTGGGATTTTCATCTGACAAAGATCATTTATGTAAATTAGGAAGAGAGTTGGACCTAGAATACTTCCCCGAGGAACCCCAAAATTTACAGGGACTTCTTCGCTAACGATGTTATCAATTTGTACACATTGTGTTCTGTCTGTTAAAAAATCTTGAAGAAGTTTCAACTGGATGTCTCTGATACCAAGGTATTCAAGTTTTTTAACTAAAATTGGGACAGAGACTGTATCAAATGCCTTTGCCGAATCTAAAAATACACCTATTGTTTTTTTCTTATTGTCAAAGTCATTAACTATGTAACTTGTTAGTTCGAAAACCGCATCTGATGTAGATCTATTTGCTCTAAAGCCAAATTGTGCATGTGATAAAAGATTTTTATTTTCCAAATATTTTACTAATCTATTATTTATAATGCGTTCTAAGATTTTTGAGATAGTAGGAAGAATTGAAATTGGTCTATAGTTAATGACACAGCCTCTGTCTCCACTTTTGTGAATAGGGTGGATTCGTGATTTCTTATATATCCTCGGGAATACTCCAGTTGAAAGTGATAAGTTGAAAATGTACGCTATCAGAGAGGCTAGAACACCCCTGTTTGCTTTTAGGGTCCCACTGGAAATTAAATCCAGGCCAACAGAGCAATTGCTCTTTAGACCTGTTATTAGGTTCCTTACTTCATTCTCATCCGTTAATAGAAGAGTAAAAGAGTGACAGCATGAATTTAAGACATGGGGTTGGACTGGGTGCTTATTTTTATACAGGTCTTCAGCTAAGTTTCTTTCAACATTTGCAAAATATTGGTTAACACCGTTCACCGATTATCCGATGTATATATGCATAGATGTATTGTCAACACTGAGGAATAAGAGAGAACCTTGTTATCATTAAAATAGTCTCAAGTTCTCTAGAATCACTGGAATTTTAGGTTGACATTCTATGAGTGCTTGATTCTACCCTGGTCGCGCTAACGCATTTAAGGTTGTGCCATAATGTAGTTGCAGGGTGGGTGTGGGTGTGGGTTTAGGTGGTGAAAGGCTGCAGTAACCTGGTGCGTGTCGGCGGGCAGCGCGCTGACGACGGCGGGCTGCAGGCGCGCGGCGGCCGACTCGAGCTTGGTGCCGTCGGACGCCACGTAGCAGCTCACGTGCAGGGGCAGCCCGCCTGAAGCCGCGTACGCCGCGCCGGCCGCCCCGCCGCCCGCCCACCACGCGCCGCTCCACAAATTCCCGGTCTTGCAATCTAATCAACCCATTCACAATTAATAGATGCCTGCCTAGGGCTCCAAATTATATATAATGATCATTTCATCCGTCTGGAATTTATAATGATTGGATTTTATGAGTTTTATTTTTTTTGCGCGGAACCCTAATTCTTTTTTTTTTTTATAAAAGTAGTCTTCGTTTCTCCTTATAACATTAGCTATCTGCCAGTGAATATTCTGTCAAAATCGGTGCCGCCATTGCGGAGATTAGCCGGCAAACAGACAAAACAAATAAAACAATTATTAATTTTTTTGTGTGTCTTTCTGTCTAAACACTGTACATATGCATTTAATATAAAGCTATTATTTTGACATTACAAACAACACTCTAATTTTATTTATATGTAATAGATTTCGAAGACTAATAGTAATTCTTGTACAAAGTAAGTTAAATTTATATTTTGATTTACTTATTAAGGTAATGTTATATCTGTCATAAGCAACCTGAATTTAATCTCATTATTGTAACTGATTTTTACACATGCTTAGCAATGAAGGAAAAATCATAAGTATACCTAAATAAATAATTATTAATTAATGATATTTTTTTAACATGAATATACATAAAAACAAACACTTAATAAAATTCGCTGCAGTATTCTTAACTTCGTCTACAGATCTTTTTGTTCCACTCCCGTGAAGGACCTTCAGCATTTTGTACAAAAACTAGACAAGTACAAAGAACACCCAAAACTTTTCGAAAATTTAGTAAAATGATTCCAAAAATCCGAAAGTCTTATTGTTTATTTATTTTACTTACTACTTTAGAAAATAAAAGGTAGGCAGAGACTACAGATTTCCATTTGGCACGATCCTGACACACCTCTCTCGCCTCCTTCACATCCATACACCTACGCATACATGCTCGTCGGTTAAGGGTACTCCTAATTTGGCCCGTTTCCAATAAATCGCCAATTTGGTCGATAAATTTTCGCCTAGGACGTCCCTTTCCGACTCTGCCATTCACTTCTGCAACATAAATTTTCTTTGTCACTCTTTCCCACTGACCTCTATATATACAAGTACGCTGGACTGGCTATACCATAGAAAATGACTGTGCCAAATTGAAGCGCCGCTAAAGGATGTCTTGAAAAATTAAATTGACATAATATTATGTCAAAGTCGGTTTCTCATTTATATTGTCTTATTTAATAAGTCCGTATTTTGAACTTTTAAACTAAAAAAACGAAAGTATTTTATGTTGTTTGGTTGTGTATAATATTAGTTACATAATAAGAATATTTTTATTAATAATGAGAGTGTGCGTAATCTGTAAAACTTGTTACCAAAAGGGAACTGGTATAACATTTCACAAGTAAGTGAATTTGCAGCAAAAATTAAACAAATTAATACTATTTGATAATATAAGTACTTACAATTTGTTACTAATCTTAATATCATATATACCAACATCTTTGGCTATATATTACTGAGTTTTGATAAACAATAAAATTCAATAGGGTTGTCGAGTTATTTGTCTATAATACTTATCGATGTTTTTTCCTACCCATATCTGTTAACAAAGAAAGTCGCCAACAACAGACGATTATCAAATGTTTATTAATTGACAGGTTTCCAACCGAACCTAGACTAAAATAATGGCTTAAAAGCATAAATATTGTTAATTGGCGTCTGAAACTAAATGATCATATTTGTTCCAAACATTTCACAGACGACTTTTTTATTAGACATGAGAACTGCACCACTTTGAAAAAGTGCAGTATATCGACAATATTTTCTGGTAGTACCAGTACCAGTAAGTATAAAAGTACTAGATTATTATTTCGAATGTTTTTTTATTTCTTCTTTCCTCATTTTCCACCAAACTCAAGGGCCATAGCCAAGTGTCGAAAGGTCGCCTGATGATGTCGAGCCACGTTGTATGTGTTTTAGTGGGCTGCGGCTAGGGGAGATTCCTCTCCCTGTACTGCTGTAGTCGAGGTGGAGTCGTAAGAGAAGAGGAGTGTGGGTATGGCAATTGGCGATGCGACACAGGACCGTGCTTTGTGGCATTCCTTAGGGGAGTCCTATGTTCATCGGTGGACTTGTGAAGGGTTTTAATGATGATGAATGATAATTACATTATATTAATATGATAAATAAATAGAATGGAAGTTACGGGTAGAGTCCATCTATCCATAGAGTCCATTCTATTTATTTAGGTATGGTAGGGTATAGAATTTTTATCGATATAATTTGGTACACTGTCTTATCCCTATTATTAGTTCCGTGGACGTGCACTTCTGTTGTCAGCGCCAAAATGGCGGAAATCAAATCGCTTCATCATGTCACGGTGTATAGCCAGTCCAGCGTACTTGTATATATAGAGGTCAGTGCTCTTTCCTCATTCATTCTTTCCACATGACCAAACCACCGAAGCATTCCTTTCTTAATCCTGGTCACAACATCTTGCAAACCACACTCTTCTCTTATTACACAATTTCTTACCCTGTCATTCAGATTCAGCCCTAACATACTCCTTAACGACCGCATTTCTACTGCGTTTATTCTACTCTCGTGCTTCTTCTGCCACACCCAACTTTCACTACCATACGTTAAAGTAGGGACCAACACAGCATTGTGAATTGCCATACGTGCCTTTTTCGACACATTTTGACTCTTCACAATAGAGTGCAAGGCCCCATTTACTCTATTTCCCGCATTCACTCGTCGTTCTATATCCTTATCATATCTCCCATCCCTGCTAAATACGCAGCCCAAATATACAAACTCATCTACTTGCTCGATCAACTCCCCTTCTATTCTTATTTCACAAATCGTTTTACTTTCTTCTCTTTCAAAAACCATAACCTTCGTCTTACTTGCGTTCACGTTCATACCCCTTTCTTTTAATGATCCGTTCATTAATGTAACCATCATTTGCAACTCGGCCGCCGACGACGCAAGAATGACTTGATCATCGGCGTACAAAAGGCATTTGACGGTTAACTCACTCATTCTTAATCCGTATTCTTCCACTTTCAAATTTTGCAAACAACTGTCCATAAATAGGTTGAACAGCCACGGGGAAGCCACACAGCCCTGTCTGACACCTTTATGGATGTCAAACCAGTCCGAGTAGACCCCGTTGATCCTAACATTAGCACTAGAGTCCCTATAAAGAGACTCCAATGCCTGTATCAAGCCAGCGCTCAACCCAAATGAGTTCAGTGTTTGCCATAGCAAATCCCTATCCACTCTGTCATAGGCTTTTTCCAAGTCCATGAACGCACAAAAAACCTTTTGGTTTTTGGCCAGAAACTTCTCCGCGATCATGCGCATGGAAAAGACTTGATCTGTACATCCCATTCCCTTTCTAAATCCCGCTTGCACATCCCAAATTTTTCCATCAGCTTCTTTCATGACCCTTTCAATCAGTACCTATTAAATATAAGAAAACTATACTTAAAAAAGGTTTGTTACAGCTTACCCATATCAAGTGGTATATTCAGCAGGTCTTTGAGTTGGTAATCTGGTTTAATGGTAGGAGTGTTGTTGGCATCATCAACAACGCTTGTGTATGTAGCGGGCGTAGATGAGCCGCGACCTAGCTCCGGTGCCTCCGTCGTAAAGATCGTACGTTCTAACGGTAAGCCGTGTAAGCCGAACCTGTAATATTTTTATTATTTGAGAGACTGTTATGTTATAATTGTAGTTCATAATTACACTCTATTGTGAAAAGTCAGAATGTGTCAAAAAAGGCACGTATGGCAATTCACAGTGCTGTATTAGTCCCTACTTTAACGTATGGTAGTGAAAGTTGGGTGTGGCAGAAGAAGCACGAGAGTAGAATAAATGCAGTAGAAATGCGGTCGCTAAGGAGTATGTTAGGGCTGAATCTGAGTGACAGGGTGAGAAACTGTGTGATAAAAGAAGAGTGTGGTTTGCAAGATGATGCGGTGACCAGGATTAAGAAAGGAATGCTTCGGTGGTTTGGTCATGTAGAAAGAATGAATGCGGAAAGACTGACAAAGCAAATATATGTTGCAGAAGTGAATGGAAGAGTCGGAAAGGGACGTCCTAGGCGGAAGTTTGTCGACCAAATTGGCGATATACTAAAAATGGGCCAAATTAAGAGTACCCTTAACCGACGAGCATGTATGCGTAGGTATATGGATGTGGAAGAGGCGAGAATGGTATGTCAGGATCGTGCTAAATGGAAGTCTGTAGTCTCTGCCTACCCCTCTGGGTGACAGGCGTGAGTGTTTATGTTATGTATGTTATGTTATGTTCATAATTAATATAATAATCGAAATAAAATTGGCAGAAACATCTAGTGAAGTTGGGACTCAAGTACCTTCCACAATTATAAGCCACATAGCAAGGCCATTTTTTTCGCATCTCACATCCATATTTGTCATTACTAGTTTCTTGGTAAGAGAGCGGACAAGAGCTTATTAGTGTATTTTAGTATGTTATCCATGATTATCAAAGCCTTTAATAAATAAGTAACTATTTTGTAATTATCATAAAGTTCTTTGCAAGTAAGGTGTAAAGAATAAACTTTTCCAAATGTCAATCTCAGTTGCATATACTAACATACCATTTCCTGGCGATAATGACAAATAATCCTGTTAAATATGCCGAAAACAAATTGTCTGGTTATGAGAGTAGCATTACCAGTAATACGAAAATGAAAGGATTCATAAAGAAGTAGTTTAAAGTGTGATATGGATTGTTGGTTTCATGTGACCTGGCCTGCAGCAACTGGTGGTACACGTTGGTTCGTTCGTGTAAGCAGCGCGCGGTGTTTTCCAGCAGCGCGAAGCAGGTGGCGACGAGGCGCGGCGCGACGTAGTACGGCACGGCACGCTGCGCCAGTGCTGTCAGCCACTTAAGCGCGCCCGCGGACTCGCACGCACCAACGTACGGCAACCACGTCACCACGCTGCTTGATAGGCTCTGATCGAACGTTGTCTTCCATGGTTTCTGGAGATGCCTTAATCCTCTGTAAATTTGGTAGATTTATGACTGACTAATCGAAGATATTGTAACATTATAAAAGCACATAAGAATTTTATATGTGGTAGAGCTACGCTGCAGCTATATAATGGTTGTAAGATGAGAGTTGCCTTGACTGGGGAAGAACCACACTCTCAACATGCCACTGAAAATAGTAGATTTATGCTGTTCTGTTTCATGGTGGTGGGTGGGGTTCGTGGAGTTGAGTGAAGAGAAACAGAGAGACCGAGAGATCGACAGAGACCTTTTTACTGGAAATGAGGCATATATGCAATATTAGTCCTTAGGGGTGACAACGCATCTGCATGTCAATGGGCCACAGCATCCACTGAGAATAAATAATTTATCATTCCTGTCTATAGCATCTACTCCAGGAAGTTTAGTAACAAACTCTTAATGTTACTAACAACTGCGGGGAGCGATCTATATAAGCTCAGATATCAGCTATAAATGACGACCTCCAGACACACTAGGAGCAGTTGGCCATCGTTTCTTCTTTCCTCGAGTAAGTCCTGCACAGGATGCCGTCTGCACAGCTATATATAGGATATGTTTCTATCCAGATCTGGGTTTCTTTAGTTGTATTAGTGCTTGATATGCCCGTTAATTGCTAGCAGTACATGTTTAGCCTGTCTCCAATTTTCATATTTAGTCCAATATTAAGCATGTTGATTACCTGTTAATGTTTATGTACTAGTAAATATACCATGTACAAGTACCAGTGTGAAGTAGACATTTACCTCTGCGGTAGCCGGATGAGCGGAATCAATAAAAAAAACTACCCCAGGAGGATATCAGTACTCCTGGTGATGGAGACTCCCTCGCTGAGCATCCACGACCACGTTATCCTACTCTTCCCGAGCGTGGGTGCTCAGACTGCCCCGCGTGTTCTGGAGGGGGGGGGGAGCAACAACACCAAGGCGACCCCTGCCACGCTTTTCGTGAATTTTTGCAACATAAGGGGAGTTCATTCCAACCTTAACACTGTCCACTACCGTCTGGAGACGACGAGCCGGCCTTACTCTTTGTCTCTTTGGCGTTTGGCATCATAGAATACTATAATACATACATAATATAACGGGGAAGTGGGCGGAGCCCGAGTAATCACTAACATATCAATTCACACCTATAACTGTCAACACAATCAATCGTTTCCAAGTTTCATGTCAAGCGTCGCTGCAAGCAAATTATTTAAAAAATGGCAAATTGTGCAATAATTACGAGTCGAAAGAACAGCGGGAAATGGAATTTAAATAAACGAGACATATTCTACAACCAGTAAGTCGAAACTATTCATATTATGTGAATTTAAGAAACAAACACAAAGAAATATTTTGTCAAAAACGTTAATCAAAAGTCTAAAATGTGTTTGTAGTAGTGATAACCCACAATACGACGTAATTGATTGTATGTGTGCTCTTGGAAACGCCGATCCTCGTATAAAATAAGGTTGACAGCCATTCTATTGTGCATTATAGTATTCTATGTTTGGCACTATAGGTCAGCCGATTGGGATACGATGCGGTTCCTACCCTTATTTTTTGGGTTGGGTTGGGTTTGCATCTCGCCGGACGATCCCAGCTTTATTGCTGCCATGGTTCAGTCGCTCCTGTAAAATAGCATCACACTATGAGCAGGAGTGCTACCGGGCCTGGTCTAACGCATCAGCGTCCCGGGATGTAAACACAAGCGCTTTTAAAAAAGAAGTATAATTTCGCCTCCAGGTCCTTCAAAAGAGTCATTAGCAATTATTTTTTTTGAAAGCAAGGTAAGGTCTGAGCACATGGGCAGAATTGACGAGAAACTAGTTCGCCTTCCTTTGGGAATCCGTGCATTCTGGTCTCTCTCTTCCAACTTTGCACAGAGAGGACGACTCACTGGCCCATGCCGCAAAGGAGAAAGCCGATCTATTAGGCTCTCTCTTTGCGTCCCACTGGACTCTCGATGACGAGGGGTGCACACCGCCGGTCATTCCGCGGTGTGACTGCTTCATGCCGGATGTACGGTTTACACAGCGTTTGGTTCGCAAAGCACTCCTCTCCCTGGATGTCAGCAAGTCGAGTGGGCCTGATGGAGACCCACCCATTGTGCTCAAGACGTATACTCCGGAGTTGGCACCGGTTTTAACGCGTCTTTTCCGGTACCCCCACTTACTAAGCGTAGTCCCGAATTCATGGAAGACAGCTTTGGTTCACCCGATCCCTAAAAAGGCGACCGCTCAGATCCGTCCAACTACAGACCTATCGCCATCACCTGTTCTCCAAAATAATGGAGTCCATCATAAACTGCCAGCTCATGAGGTACCTTGAGGATCACCAGCTGATTAGTGACCGGCAATAGGGTTTTCGTCTTGGTCGATTAGCTGGTAATCTTCTGGTCTACCTGACTCATAGATGGGCGGAGGCAGTAGAGTCCAAGGGAGAGGCATTGGCCGTTAGTTTGGAAATAGCGAAGAACTTCGATCGGATCTGACATAAAGCGCTTCTTTCGAAGCTCACTTCCTATGGGCTTCCTGAGATATTGTGCAATTGGGTCACCAGTTTCCTTGCTGATCGGAGCATCAAGGTCGTAGTAGATGGTGCATGCCTTGATTACAAACCTATAAACGCTGGTGTTGCAGTAGGCTGCGTGCTATCACCAACGCTGTTTTTTCTGCAAATATCAACGATATGTTGCAAACTGGTAACATTTATTGCTATGCAGACTACAGCACTAGTGACGCCTTATAGGCCGTACCAACATTGCTCCGGAAAATGTCGCCGAGTACCGGGACAAATTTGTGTCTGAAGCCAAGTCTTTGTTGAACAAAGTCTCGGATTGGGGGGCGACTAAATCTAGTGCACTTCAAACCTCGCTAAAAAGAATCCCTTTGTCGTATCTTCTCAGTTTCAAGGCACTCCCCTTGCTGCCTCAGTTAGCATCGGCATTCTCAGAGTCGACATATCGAAGTGTGCAGTTTCATGTTTACTTGGAGGGGAAGGCCGATTTGGCCTCTAAAAAGCTTGGCGTGCTCAGCAGAGCGAGACAGTATTTCATGCCGGCACATTGCTTGCAACTTTACAAAGCACAAGTTCGGCCTCACATGAAATACTGTTCTCATCTCTCGGCCGGGGCACCTCAGTGCCAGCTCCTTTCACTTGACCGCATCCAGCGCAGAGCGGTACGAATCTTCAACGACCGAGTTCTTTCTGATCGGCTCGATTTATTGGCGCTGCGTAGGGATGTTGCATCCCACAGGGAGTGCTCTGGGAATTGTTCGGATTAATCTCAGTCGCCAAATTTCATGAACGCACATCCCGTCAAAATTCAAGATATCGGTAGAGATCATTTTTCTAGGAGTTTTCCTCATTGTACAACTTCCCTGTGAAACTGTTTATCACCGACGATTTTTCCGGACCAATACGACTTAGAGACCTTCAAGAGCTTACTCCTTTTTAAAAGGCCGGCAACGAACCTGCAATTCCCCTGGTGTTGCTGTTGTTCATGGGCGGTGGTAATCACTTACCATCAAGTGAGCCGCATTTTTTTATAGGATAGGGTGGTAAGTGGTTGCTGTGGCCCATAGATATCTACATCTATCCTAGATTACGAATCAAAATGCAGATGCGTTGTCACCCGTGAGGACTACGATGGAATGCCTCGTTTCCAGTAAAAAGAAGGGTCTCCAGTTCTCTACACTCATCATACAAAACACAGCAGCATTACGCTGGTATTCTGTGAGAGCGTGGTACTTCCCCGGTCGAGCCGACCCATTCGTGCTACAAGTATACTATTAATATAACTGCCGCATGGCTCTACCATGTATAAAATGCTCGTTTGCCACCTCATCTAGATAAAAAATAGACATGTCCATGTAGGAATTGTAATAATTGGTTCTGGTCAAACCAGAGGTAATAATATAATTCAGATCGGTGACAAGCACCAGTGACAAAGGTGCGAGACATGTGATACTGTGATTACCAATCCCGGTTCAATGGTTAGTGCTTTGTTGTGCACTGTACTTATAGTACTTACTACCTACTATAGGAAAGACTGTTAGTTAAGTGTTAAGTGGGTTGTTATAAACTAATAAAGATAAAGAATATAATTATAAAAACTTACTCGGTAGTAATAAGAATAATTTTGATGCACTTCTTTGCAATGCTCCTATTCGCACATAAGATACAGTTCTTCACAAGAGCATCAATGTGTTTCTCTATAACATTAATACATTCCAACTGCTGCGTCTCAACTGGGCTTTCCTCATCTTTATCTTTACTCTTATCAGCTTTTGCCAAACGCATTCTCTGGAGCCGTATTGATAGTACCCAGTTGAGTAAGTCCAATGCTAACTTCTTTTCTTCATTTCCTCCTTTACTGGTGGCAATTTCACAAAGAGTGTTCAAGAAGCTATTAGACTCAAGCATCGCTATACGTTGCTGCCGCTCCATCGGTACTTCAGTATGAGGACTTGACCGCACAGTAATCGATATCTGATGCAACCAATCGCAGCCAATAAAACCAGACTTCTTAGAACTTTCAGTGGTTCTATTTGATCCTTTTGTCATGTCTTTAGCCGGATCAAACAGTGTTTTTATGTGGATAAGGAATGTTCTGCCCCTTGCTCGAAATAAGCGTGGACTTGTCAAAATCAAAGTGCCAGATTGCCGTGTTTGGTCAAGTCCTGAAGAAAGCAAAAGTGGACCGGCAAGTATTTCTGCATTGTGCGCCTGAAGGTATTCCTCACTATTAACAGGATTTTCAATATAAGGCAAATCTGCGTCAATAACTGGGAACTGTATCGGAGAATCCGATCTCTGACAGAATGACGCATCCTTCTTGTATCCAAGTCCGTGCAAATTTTGTTTTAAAAGCGTGACCTGAATCACAGGTAAGTTCAGCGTGCATGCTGAGTGCAATGTAAAGCCAAATTCTATGTGTGCAAGCGAAACACTATATGGCATTGTCAATTCTAAAACATGCTCGTCCCATGTTGAAGACGTGTTTTGAAGTCTCCATGATCTGTTGTTCTGTTGGTCAGATCTGGACCTTTGAGCTGGTGACAATTCGCACCAAAAACCTGGGACTACAGTGCTGTATGGCACGGTAGTGTTCATGCCATATAAGCCAGTTAATGAAATTAAAGTTTCTAAATCAGCTAGGTTCAAATCAGTCTTGTTAGCAATGATAATAGGTGCGGTGGTTGGTCCTGATGTTTCATACCATAGCATGTCATAATATAAATTAGAAAACTTATCCTCGTTGACATCCTCAGTTGAATCTTTGTCACCATCGTTCAATGCATAGAAATAAATCATTCCATGTTTTGTAGACACACTGAGCCGTTCGACGGACGCGCAGTACACAACGGATGTGAACTGACCTTTGGGTACTCGCTTCTCTGATAGTATTTTAAAATCGGGCAATGTATAGAGCCTTAAGCTTCCATCAGCCCCAACAGCCGCGAACGAATAACGATCGTGCTTGTCAGCTGGTAGTAGGCATAAATCTACAGGACTCTCATTATAAGGCAATTCCTTAACAGAAACAGGATTATCTTCCAAAGTGTAAACAGAACTTTTGCTATTGATTTTGTACAGTATGAAATAAGCTTTTGTGTCAGGTTTCTCAGTCTTATCAGTTTCACAGATCTCGTCAACATCCATCTTTGTTTCTCCATCTGCCTCTGTTTCTTCTTCGATTTTAAGTTTGCTTAGATCAATACACGATATGACTACCAACAAATGTTCCTTATCTTCTGTTGGTAGTAAGTGTGTTACTCTAGAATCATCTTTGAGGTTTAATGTGGTTGGAAGACTAAGGCACTGAACAGCTACACCCTGGGATACCACTTCCTCTTGTGGTGGATCACTATCAAATCCATCGTTGTTGCTGTTACTTACTGCTGTTTGAGTTCCAACTTTACTTGCAGTGGATGGAGCTACTTTAACTTTTTCTGTTCCATCTCCATCTTCATACCATTTCAAATCGGATATTTCTAAAGGCCCATTCATGTTGAAATAATGGGTGATGGTTGGTGTAATAGTGGGGTCGACTTGAGCAGCATCAGTCTGATCAACGGGTTTTGTGCCAACGGACTCCAAGTTGCCACTCTTCCAACTCTTGAGCTGTGGAACATTTCCGACGAAGTCAAGCATTGATTTTTGTATATATACCGGTAATTCGGGTAACAGCACAGGGGGCGGTGATGGGGGGAGTACTTTGAAATGTTTTGCGAAAATAATCTTTTTCGGTTCCCAAAACTTAGAATCTTCTTTACTTGATGATGCATTTAAGTTAATAACATTACTAATTTGCTCATCTATCAAACTGTTTGTGCATTGTGGAAGCTCAGTATCCTCATCAGAGTACTGAAAATAAATTTCGTCGTAAATATTCGCATCGTCAGTTCTAGCCACAGGACACACTTTCTTGCTGCCACCGGGTTTTGAATTGCCGCTGCTGTTAGATGTGTGCACTACTGTAGTTATAGAACCAGCGAGAGAACTGTATATGTCGTAGGTTAGCAAAAACAACATTTTATCCGTGGAATCCTGATTGTTCTTCGCTTCGTTTTGATCGTTCATGGCTTTAATACTTTCCTTAGACTTGTCTGTTTCACCTGAATTGAACAATGCTTTACTCGTGTCCTCTTTGATAGGTTGATCAGACTGAGCCAAATTAGTCCTTGTGACGATGACGCCGCATACGAGAGAGGGTTTCGTTTTGCTATTACTCGTTTCTTTCTCGTTGTTTTCGCTGTTTTGTGTTTGTGGGTAACTTTCCTGTTTTGAAGTCATACCAACGAACGCCATCGCTGTGAGTTCGATGCCATAGGTGGCTGTAAAAAAATATATCAATGACACTATAAACTCAGATGTTTATCATGTGGCGCCACTCTATCACGAGAACTATCTATTAAGTTGTATACTATATAAACACATCAAAGAATCTAGGCATATTTTATATTTCATCAAATATCTAAAAATCTATGAAGAATTTTCTAATATAGTAAATGGAAGAATGATAGGTTATTTCAAGGTCTTTAATAAATAATAAAAAACAATTCGTAATAATTTTTTTAAATAACAATGACTGTTTTATTTGCCGTAGAAAATTAGTACGAGGGTGGATTGAAAAGTACTCGGCCTAACCAAGAAAATAAACACATACTAAAACAGTTATATTTTTATTTTTCTACATAATCACCATCAAGTTCAATACACTTTTGCCACCTCCCCTTCCAAGCATTTAGACCGTAGAAAAAAAATGATTCTTCCTTAGAGTCAAAATATGCGTCTACAGCTGCTTTGACCTCGTCGTTTGTCGAAAATCTTTGACCTCCCAAGTGCTTTTTTAGGTTAGGGAACAGAAAGAAGTCTGATGGTGCCAGATCAGGTGAATACGGCGGATGCGGTAACAGTTCAAAGCTACAGTTGTGAATTTCAGCCATTGACTGTACTAACGTGTGAACACGGGCGTTATCTTGATGAAACAGGACTTTTCTTCTGAGCATTCCTCGACGTTTTTCTTTTATTTCCTCTCGTAAACGACGCAGTAAGGTGCAGTAGTAATCAGAGTTTATAGTCTGACCCCTTTCAAGATAATCAATCATAATTCACACCTTTCGAGTCCCAGAATACTGAAGCCATCACCTTATTTGCCGACAAAATCGACTTAGCCTTTTTAGGGGTGGTGAACCAGGTCTTCTCCACTGTTTTGATTGTTGTTTTGTTTCCGGTGTACAGTAATGAACCCATGTTTCGTCCATAGTAACAAAACGATTCAAAAAATCATCTGCATTGGCTTCAAATAACTCCAAACAGTCGCGTGAAATAGTCAATCGCGTCCTTTTTTGTTCAACTGAAAGCAGTCGCGGAACCCACCTCGCAGACACCTTGTGGAAACCCAACTCGTTGACAATGATGTTTTGAGTTCGTTCATAAGAGATGCCTATAATCTCGGCTATCTCTCTAATTTTTAATCTGCGGTCTCCCATAATTAAATCAAGTACTTTTTTAATATTTTCGTCAGTAGTTGACGTCGAAGGCCTTCCAGAGCGGGGTTCATCTTTCACACTCTCTCTACCACGCTTAAATTCTGCTATCCATTTTTTGACGGATGAATATGACAGAGCACAATCGCCTAATGTACTGACCATGTCATCATGGATGGCTTTTGATGATAGCCCCTTCTTATGGAGGTACTTAATGACGGCACGCTGCTCGATTTGCTCCATTCGCGGAAATTATGTCCGATTACTTTGTTAATAAATTTATAAAATCACAACTAATTATCGCACACGTTTCGAACTTCACACAATGAACTAGTCTGAACCTGAACTAAATAATGTGGGTAGATTTGATTTTTAGAATTGAATGGATCTGTGTTAGGCCGAGTACTTTTCAACTATTAATTTTAATTAAAATTGAAAATATCCTATAAAATCTAATTATTAATAATCAGTGTCGCCGCCTCTTACATTAATTACACACCGACAACGATTGTACACACTTTAATTTAAATTGTCACTATCTTGCTTTTAAATCGTCAATATCTTGCTGTGGTATGAGGTCCCATGTTTAAGTGTTCGTAAAGTTGTTGTTCCATTGTCAAATTTAGCGGGAAATCTCTCAACTTTCTCTCCTTTTCGTTGTAACATGTGCCAGGCATGCTCGATAGGATTTAAGTTGGGCGACTGTGCAGGTCACCCAAAACTTGAATATTGTGGTCACGGAGAGCGGCCGACATTAGCCGCGCCGTGTAGGAAGGAGCATTATCGTGCATGAGTAAAAATTCCTAGCCCATTTTGAATCTGCGTGGGACAATAATAGGCTCTACTACGTTCCGCGGTATTTTTGTACAGTCATGCTGCCTTGGATCCCAACGAGCTGGGTTTGTCCGCCAAGACGAATTCCTGCCTACACCATGATTGTCCCATCTTGGTAGGAGTGAATCTCCTGAGGGTGCCATAGGCGATTAACTCTCCCTGGAGTTCTACAAATGCGTGTTCTTTGTGATTCCGGATGAAACTCAATCCGAGACTCATTGGTGAATAGCACCAAAGATCATTGTTCATCACTCCATGGTAAATGCTCCCGAACACATGAAAGCCGTTGACTGCAATTCTTCAACTTCGCAATGCTGGAACACGTAGCAGTCTTCGAGCAAGAAGACCTACTTCATGCAACCTCCTTTGCACGGTTTGGCCGCCGACCAGCAGCTGGTAGTCCTCCTGGAGCCTTTGTAGTAGTTGCATCGCTGTGATGTTGGGTTGTGTTTTGGCAGTCATTTGGAAAAGTCGATCCTGTCTCTGTGTAGTAACACCATATCTACCTGTGTGCCGTTCAACCACATCCACATACTGCGATAACGTGACAACAACCTTGATATCACGATTTATCTGGTGTCTCAGCAACGACGTGTTGAATAGCACCATTTTCTAACATGCCCATGGCTCGTAACATGTCATCTCGACTCAAATGACGACGTGACACGACTCTCAAAGCCGATACGGCAGGTTAATTTAAAAAATAAAAACAATCTAATTCCCTTTTCATTAATTAATATCAATAAAACAATTTTAATTTTCCTTGACGTAACGAATAACTAACAATTTTGCCGCCATATTTTTTTATTTAAAGTTTGAAAATAGAATAACAGAGGTTCCAATCTGTATATAAGCTTTTTATGAAACTAAAAAGATTTTAAACTATAAAGTCGAAAATAATTTAGGATTATGGTATCTCTACATTCTGTTGATGTGTTTATTTTAGCATAAGATACAATATATTTTAGTAGAAGATACAGTATACTTTCTTTAATTTGAATGACTTGATAGATCTAAATTAAATGTTTTTTATTTAAATTTATTGCACTAGCTTAATAAAAATTCAAGCAAATTTAAATAATACACAAAAATTTCAATAACTAATAACAGTATCTAAATGTTTACGAAACACGTCAGAATATTTCATCAGTACTTACAAGTGTCTTTCTCTAAGCTTGCCGACCAGACTCTGTTAGAGTCAGTAGCAAGTATCCCGCTAAAGATGGAATCGTAGGCAGACAGGTGAATGAACTTAACGAGCTTGAGTCCGCAGTCAAATCGCCATACGTTGACTTTGCTCTCGGCAGTGCCGGTAGCGATCAGATCACCTGTGTTGCCCTTAGATACCACTGTTATGTTCGGACAGGGCACGGCGCACGCGGTAGCATTGGTTACCTGATGCAAAAAAAAAATTAATTCCTAAAAAACACCAATAGCTTTGTAGTAAAGCAGTGCATCCACATTTGTTTTTCAATTTGAGGAGTATGGATAACCAATTCAATTTGTAAGGCACTTTTGTTATGACAATTTACTATCGCGTGGATAATGGCTATAAATTCTACTTCCAAACTCTGGGTTTCTCTGGTGAGAATATTAAAGATTGCGGTTAGGCAAATGTAATGAGGTCTTCAGCTAATTGAAGCAATAAGCTAAGTTAGCAGACAAAGATCTACTACTGCTTACTGGCCTTATCTTAGGAGGGACCCATGGCCAGAACTGGTTTGCTGCATATATAATATAGATGACATGTCTCTACTGTTAAAAAATATATGAAGTTTTATTACAAACAAGAAAAAAAACAGCACATATTTTTTTAACAAGACAGGTACTTTTAGTAATTCCATATTATTTTTTTACTACACCTACTTCATTCTACTATAATCACGCGGTGCAATTATTAATAACATAGCTTCAAATAGACATGTTTCTTTCTTTCTTTCAATATGCACTCACAGAAATGGGCACGTTGTGTGTGTACTCGCCGCGCACGAAGGGACAGCTGGGTGAATGCCGCTCGTGTTCGACCCACGGCTCGTCGGACTTCTCCCAGCACACGAGGCACACCATGCACGTAAAGCACATAGCACGGTCGTCACCGCTCGGCGACGGCTGATGGTAGAAGCCCGCCTGCGCCATGCGTGCTGGCAGTGCCCATCTGCGAATATTGCGTCTTTTTTAGTTCTAACTATTCTAATATTTGTAGCACTGGAATCACTGAACAAATACCAGTATGACCTACAAATATATTTCACGGCCTGGGTGTAAAATTATTATTTGAAAAATTCCTCTTCAACACGGAAGAAACTTTTGTAAATTTCAGAGTGGGGCTAATGTTTTTAAGGATTAGTAAAAGAATTTTTATAGAGTGAACAGGCCTTAAGAAATGCATGGATGAACACATCACAATCATGAGAACTAACAATACGCACAATAAATATAGTGCCAGAAAAAACTCATACTGATTAGCAGATACTGTCTCAAAACTAGATGGTATTGTATGATATAAGGAAACCACTATTAAACTGACATGATCTTTAATTAAAAATAGGCATTTATTTAAAATATTGTTCCTCTCCTGTATATCGCTTTGAGAGACAATCTCAAAGCCATATACAGTTTTACAGAATACTAAATGTTGGTGGATAGTTAAGTAGCATCTTTAAAACATTCCTCTACAGGCACGGTTTACTCTCCAATTCTGAGGTGGGAAATCAATTTAATTCCACACAGTCAGCACATGTTAGCGGATATCAAATGCTCCTGCAATACTTAAAATAACAATTTTTTATGACATATCTATCATTCAGATATTTTATATGAATAAATAAGAAATTGCTATATTATAACATAACAACATTCCAAATTTAAAAATTAATTAAAAAAATTATTTAGTAAAATCGAGTATTATGTTACTAAGGTCTAAATAATTTTTTTAATATTCTTGGCTCGATGGTCAAAGAAAACAATGTAAGATAATGTAGATTTTCTCTATGGAATGAAATGTTAAGTTCTAAGTTTGCCAACATGCATTAAAAGTAAGGCGGCGATTAATCACTCTATAACCCTACCTGAAATGAACAGGTCTGTGATGAACAGGGCGAAAACTTTACTTTTTAATAATTTTTCTTTACATTAAATTTCTTTATTTTAAATTATTACAAATAAATCCAGTAATTTCAAAGTTAAAAAATTCGCTAATTACTAATACAGCACAACAGAAGCAGTTCACATTTTTGTCTGATTTACTAGTATTCACATTCTCAACAGGCACATGCAGGATAAATGAATACATAAAATTGAAATTATTAATTACAATAGCACCTGAAAATATAACTGAATAAGAGTTCAAACTATACAGTGGCAAATATGAGAAATTTATTGAGTCAACCATCAAAGTCAAATCAAAATATTGTATTAAGTAAATGTTTATAAAAGATTTTGTATAATGTCACTTATGAATTAGATTGAATACACCTTAAATAGTTGTCTTAAAAAGGTTTCAAACTAGTATAAAGATTTTTATTTATGTTTACACAACAAGATATATAACAATCATAAAGTTAGTACAAAGATACTAATTATTCCATAATTTATTAAAATATCTTGAAGTACCATCTTCTACACAGGCAAATAAAAATATATTAAAAAGTTAAGTAAATTGTTATTATTAGGCTGTAAATGACTGCTGCTGGACATGGACCGTCCCATGGTTATTGTAGTGAGGATTTGCCTCGATCCTCACGCTTGCCAGGGGAATTAACGATCGCAGTACCAGACATCCCTCACCTTTGACGCTGCCACTGCCGTCAGTCGCCGTTTTGGCTCTTTTTGTGAATATCGGACGTAAACTAGATGGCATACATACATACATCTCTCATAGATGTCGTTTGAGGCGCCTAAGTTAATTAAAAGTATGCTCACTTATAATCCATATGTGGCCATCGCTTAAATGTTTCCTTCCTCTCAGCTTCTGAATACATGAGCGCCCTCGACTCCTCATCCCGAGAACATGGCATCAGTTCATTGGCGCGTTGCCCCACCGCCGAAGCGATGGCAAGTGCAGGAATCCTCCTATTTTGCTCTTTGAGCTCCTGTACCACACCAGACGTCACAAGCCGGAAGGTGGATTGTGGCAATGAGATAGTCACTGTGCTCCACTAAAAAGATATTGATATTTGTGTAAAAAAATTTAACAATTTGAACAAATTCAAACCTAATTTCAGCTGAAATAAAAATAAAACCAACTTCAATGCATTTAAATTTTCTATCTACTAAATCTATTAACACTAGTATTGATAACAATGTTACTGACATGATCAACTTTTGGTGGCTTTTTCACACTCAATTTTAATATTCTCAGGTTGTTGAAAAGCTTTATGTACAGAAAAATTTGGGATATGCAAGCTGGAATTAAAAAATGAGATGGGGGTGTGAGTTTAGGTCTTTTATGTGCATGATATCAGAGAAGTTTTTGCCCAAAAACCAGGTTTTTTTGTACATTAACTATAAAAAAACCCTAAGGACAGAGTATGCAGGGTTTTTTTATGACAATCGGTGCCCTTCTTTAGTCGCGAGGCTGATACAGGCACTAAAATTATTTTATAGGGACTAGTTCTTCTATCGAGACCAGTGGGAAAAGTAGAAATAAGGCCATTCAGAAATATATTAGGGTGACTCTAAATGACAGAGTGAGAAATTGTATGATAAAAGTATGGTATGTTAGATGTGTCCAAAATAAGATAGCTTTTGTGGCTTGTTCATACAGAAAGAATAAATGTGAAAAGAGTGACAAAGAAATTTCATGTTGCAGGAGTGAGTGGATCGGCATGGGACGCTCAGAGGGAAGTTTATCGACCAAATTGATGATAAATTGAAGATGGGTCAAGTTCAGAGTACACTTAACTCACAAGCATGTGTAGGTAGATATTTTGATGTAAAAAAAGCAAAAGAGATGAGCCAGGACTGTGCCAAATGGAAGTCTGTCGTCTCTGTCTACCCCACTGGGTAAGATGTGTGAGTTTATGTTAACAAAATTTTACTCAAAATAGATTATACATAATACACTGGTTCAGAAAATAACTCTGTCCTACAAAGAATCAGCATGATTGTCCTTCATAAGTACTTAGCTAATATTACTATAAAATACCAGCCCAGATATAGACATATCAGCTGCAAGTTTTGGCTCGGATAATTTGGACAAATTGAAATCTTTATTTTTTCTTCAATGTAGCTTATTAAATATTTACCACTAGTTTGTTTCATTGTTAATAATGATTCACAAAAAATGTAAGAATAACACACGAAAATTGAGTTACTCCTCAACTCATTGATGACTTTATAGACTGAAACTGCAAAATAACAGTATCATCTTATTTTCTTTATAAGTATTAAAGAGTCTACAGCTGGAATATAAGACTTCCCATAATCGGACATCTTTTAAGGCACACTACAAATCCCACATAATATGCGAAATCTAAAGATGGTTAAAAGCCGTGGTAGCTCAGATGGTTAGTGCTCACTGTAAATTTCACAGTAAGCGAGCAAACCGGGTTCATTCCCCACCGGCACCAATGAAATTGTTAGTTACAATTTTAAGTGCTGATTTACCACATGCTCGGCGGTGAAGGAAAACATTGTGAGGAAACCTGTATGTCTGAGAAATAAGAAAAAAAAGTATTTCGAAGGCATGTAAAGTTCGCCAACACGCATTGGGGCAGCGCGGCGGACAATTCCTTGCCCTTAAACCCCCTCAGAAATAAGCGGAGGCCTATGCCCAGGAGTGGGACGTATATATATAGGTTGTAACTTTTTAATGTCAGACTGCAGCATAATACATGCGAGGTGTAGTGCAATTTGCAATATCCCTAAACCAGCCTGGTCTATAGCATACATTACGATAAAACTTATGTTTCATTGTCATTGGTGTTATTTCCACACAGTAGCTTCGTAATCTACTTCACATATTATGTACAAATGATTAATTACTTTTTGAGCTTTGACGCCTTTCCGAACTGGTTCTGCATCAATGGCACTTTTTAGCGCGTTTATAAAGTCCGGGAGCCCCTCAATTGAGTGTACATCCAGACTCTGCATGCACTGGTACAGAATCACCGCCTAGAACAATATATAAGCTAAAATGAAGGGTTTGTCTCCAATATTTAGAGTCACTATAGAATTTTTTTTAAAGCAAGGTTTTTTTTATAGGATATGTTGATAAACTAGCACACAGTCCACCTAACGGTAAGTGGTTGCTGTGGCCTATAGACATATATCTATATATTCATATTCTAAGATATAAATCTATCTTAGATTATGAATTAAAATGTAAATGTGTTGTCACCCATGAGGACTAAGATGATATCCCTCACTTCCAGTAAAAAGGATCTCCGGTTCTCTCCACTCACCATACAAAACACAGCAGAATGTAGCTACTCTTTTACACTGTTATTTTGAGAGTGTGGTGCGACCCATTTGTGCTACAACTATACTGCTAATATAACTGCAGCATGGCTCCATGTAAATAGAGTAAAAATTCTATAAATAATATGTTCAAAATAATGTAATAATGTTAATAAAATAATGACAACTTATATTAATTTAATTAAATTATTAAGTTGGGATGGGATGACCATTATTCATTTTTATAATGATGTCAAAATAAGTTCTGACTTGTAAAGTAATTTCAAAGCACTTTTAAAATAAGAATAATAAAGAAACAAACACTGGTTACAAATACCTTAAGTGTTCAACAAGTGCATGTTGCCAGTGTGATGACTCAAGGAATCAAAACATTCCACTTCATAGCTGGCCTTATGGCTAAGAAATCTAGATATTATGGTCAGCAGTGGTATTATAGACTGTAATTATGATGATAATGACAATCACAAAAATGGGTTTATTTAGTCACAACAATCATATACCCAGGCACCTAAATAAAACAAACTAGGACATGTAATATCAAAAGGTTGTCAATTCAAGAACCGAGTACTGATACTGGAGACTTAATCTAAAACTGGTTCTATATCTACCAACTATTTAACAATTTTTGCATTCTAAATTTTCTTAAGATTTTTAATAATATATCTTATGTTTTTGCGATGGTTTGGATAAAAAAAAATTATATAGAATTAGGGTGACAAGTAAGTACACCTGATGGTAAGTGGATGCTGTGGCCCATAGACATCTACATTTAACCTCGATCAAGAATCAAAATGCAGATGCATTGTCACCCCTGAGGACTAAGATGGAATGCCTCGTTTCCAGTAAAACGGATCTCTGGTTCTCTATACTCACCATATGAAACACAGCAGCATCAAGTTGCTATTTCACGCTAGTATTCTGTGAGAATGTGGTCCTGCCCCGGTCGAGCCAACCCTTTTGTGCTACAACCATAATATAGCTGCAGCATGGCTCTACCATATATAAAAATACAATGAAAATATGTTACTAAATCAGTCATCAGATTAAACTTTATCTGAACTTAAAGCTGTGTTTATTAATAATTAACATCCAAAATTAAACATTTTTTTTCATAGTTTCCCCTGCTAATAAGAATTTCAAATAGTAACATTCATTAGTTTTTTTTTTATGTTTAAACTTAAATCAATTTATAAAATTACATACAATAAATATAAATTTACATGTAAAAGAACCTCAGGCGTTTCATTTCATTAGATGCATTCAGAACAATCTTACTACTCTCAGTTTGGAAATTAAATTATTGGAAAAATTGTTTTGAAATTAAAGAACTGTGAAATCATAGTGTCTAGCATCTCAATCCCCATGGGTGCTGCAAAACACCCTATACATCAAGAGATCAAAAATAAATTAAAATAAACATGATGAAAACCAGTAAAAGTATTTTTATTTAATGTGTAATGTTAGCTTGTACCACCCCCACAAATATTACATAAAAGATAACCTAAGCCATAAAGAATAATTATTTTTAATATTTAAGAATACAATGAAATAGTTAAAAATGAAGTCCCTGTTCAATAATCAAGGAGTGGAAACACAAAACTTGTTTTTCTTGTCTAATATCATCAGTGAGTGAAATTAAAGCACAGATATAACCAGTAGGCTATTTTCATATAAAGAATTCTATAATTTCAAATAGGCAAATATTATTATTATATAATATATTATATTGACTAGAATGAAGGGAAATACCAAAAAATTATACCAGAAAGTGCTCTTATAGAAAGGCTACCATTTGTCCACTTATTTCATTATAAACCACCATTTTCAACTTCAATACTATCCCCTCATCAGTCCAAACGCCACATTCTGGCGTCTCAAATAATATGCGCATCTGTCAAATGCCATAATATGGCGTCGAGTGATAGCAAACTATTTGTAACATATATATGATATATATAACATATATATCTGTTATGCATAATCTGATAGCTTATTTAATAATGTTCCATTGATATATGATTTTAATATATTTACTTAGTATATATATACATATATACTTAGTATACTTGTTATATACTTAGTACTTCGGAGAGTGCTCGACAGATGCGCCATATTGGCCAAAATGACCCCGACATTCGAGTGGCTATAATAGACTATAACTGTAAGTAACTTTATTAAGTGTTTTAGTTTACCTACTAGTAGTTTAACAATGGATTACAGAGTTCATTGCTTTAAAAAAGTCAATTATTTGTTTATTTTTCATCAAGTGATATAGAAAGACCATAATAGTGTTGCTGGTTGGCCAACACAAATAGATCTTTAAAAAAATCCACACTGGTAGATGAAGAGTCATTAACACTTTGACGCGCATTCTCTAGTTCGCTGGCCATTTTTTAATATATTGTAAGATTATTAGAAAAATAACTATAAGTGATACATGCATAATGTTTTTTTTATTTCTTTTATGTATTATCTATTTTAAAGATATAATTTAAAACATATTATTTTTATATTTGAAAATTAACCTTAAATAGGGAGCGAAAATGAAAAAAACAAAAACTCTAACATAAAGGTATTACATATATCAACCAGCATAATTTGTAATTGTATGATATTTTTTGAAGCAAGGGTAATAACAAAGAGGTACACATTAAAAAATAGTTTCTTTTCGTCCACGTTTCGCGGTTTCTTTAGATATGTCAGCACAAACATTGCACACTCCGCCGCACAACAGTGCCACAGCCAACGAAACTCTTCCTCACGCCTACACCCTGCACTGCTTTTTGATATATGATGCATATATGTATAGCTAAAGAAACACCCTCAGCAATTGTTATGCGCCAATGACATACTGAATTCGTGATTTTTAAATAAAGAACATGAAAATTGATCACATACTCAATACGTTATCTGCGTCCTGAGGAAAGAGCAGCATCACATACCCAATACATGATTGGCTGTTAAAGTGTTAATACCTATTTGAAAGTACCCACTGGTGTTTAACTGCATATACCATCTGATTGCACCTGTTATAAAGAACAACCAGTTCTTCTCAATACACTCTAATCTTCACAGTATACAAGAAACTTAAGTCCGATACCCAATAAACAAACCATTAAATTGTTTATTGCAATATTATAAATCCAGATTGAGTCCCTAAGGAAACTTTTAAGTTAAATGAACTATTAAGTCATTGGTATAACCATTGGATAGTAGGGCAGACCCTACTTACTCCAAACATCCTATAATAACCATGGTATGTATGACATAAACACAAATTAATCCAAAAAACATTTGATTAATAAATAAAGAATAATGATAATAATAAAGAGTAATAAATGTTAAGAGTAATAGTGGCTATGTTACAAATATAATAAAAAATGAAGATACCTCAGACAAGACAAGTTCTATCTTTATAATATTATCCGGTTGAGTGGATGGCAATGGGCGCTGTAGTGCAGTATGCAGCAACAGTACCCCATTGTAGTCTGTCCGAGCGCCAATACCACTGCCGTCCCATAAGAACACACGGTCGGCACCCGAAGCATACTCAACACCAAGTGCGCCGCTCTCATCTAAAAGAAAATAATAAATATTAAATCTGAAATACATGCCAAAATCCGGCAAAATCGAAATTGTTTACTGAAATCTGTCAAAGTCAGAAACAATGTAGGACATTGATAATCGCGTACAATAATTAACACATAGTCAACATGATATTAAGTAATTATATATAGTGTAACACAGAATTAGTTATATTACAGGCTTTAATTAAAAGAAATATACAATGATTTTCACTTACCCGCTGATAGGCAAGATGACTGAAGAATCACACCAGAATTCACATCCAAAACGTGTACACTCCCAACGTCAGTCTTCACCAAAATTATATTTAAATTACTATGATACGTTAAAGAAGTCACAGGAAAATTCATACGTATATAACCATCTTCCCGTAATAATAAAGAATCATCGCCCATCGTGGCCGAGAAGACATCTGTCTATTCTACGTAAACGCCATTTGTAATTACATTTTTTTTTTGTCAAACTTGTATCCGATAACATGGCCAGAGTTAAAAATTAATATCATTCACACTTTTTATGCAAAGAGTATAGCACACAGAACCACAGAACACTATTACTCCTATCGGAGCAATAACAGTGAAGTATAAGCCGCATTTACCGGCAGCTTTTTTATTTATTTATTTCGAAAACCAACAGCGTATACAGAAAATATTTAACATTAATGTAACAAACTTAAAGTATGGCTAATAACAGGTTTCCCTTATATTGCTTGATGGTATATTGTTGTTGGAAGGAAATACAAATAAAAACAATCCAAAAGACAAATCATAAGCAATTTAGTGTAACGAGGGTGGTCACAAGCTTACATATATGTTGAGTTCTTTGGAGGATCTATTAGATTGATATTATATATTACATAAATGCATATATATATATATATATATATATATATATATATATATATATATATATATATATATATATATATATATATATTGTAGTACAAATATATAAACGTAATAAAAGTAATTAAGTAAAAAATAAAATAACTCATTTTGATTCATTGTACTGGCAGAAAAAAAATACATATTAAAAAAAGAAAAAAGGAAAAGAGAATATGTGGTTTTAACTGTAACTGCTATGCCCCTTAATGGTTTTCATGATGTCATGAATGTTGATTGCAGATCCAGCCACTGAAAATAACCGCTCACGGAATACCGCAGTTGCTACGATAGGCAAATAGATCTTATCTAGGCTGTGAAGCCCGGGAAATAACACTTTCATGATATCCCACATGGAATATATGAAACTAGTCTTCTGCTTTAACTTTATTTCTTATGATGTGGTGCGTTCATTTTGTATGGTAGTATATATATATACCATATGTTACCTTCAGTATTATCGCATTTTCTTAATACATCTACAAAACTATACCGAAATACAAACAGGTGAATAACCGTTCATCCATAAAAATCAATATTGCAGAAAAATGATTGTACGAAATACGACTTGTAAGCCGATAAAATAATTTCCATTACAAAATTACCATTAACTTATAAGACTGTACTTAAGCTATTTATTAAGTTAAAGCTCAAACAATATAATTAATAAATAAATAACAAAATGAATAAAACAATTTCAATCCATTTTCAATATTTGTAAACTTATCTTAATTAATTATCACAATAAAAATAACTACAAGTTTAAGAAAGATCATTCGCCTGTTTGTTGATTCGTAATTAAAATTTTCGGGATTGAGTAATTTCTGCCAAATACTCGTAAACCTTCCAACTTTAAAAATGTACCTAGACGTTATCTAACTTTGACATATTTTGTTTCGAATATTTATTTTTTGGCAACATAAAATTCGTGATAATCATCGTTCGCAACTTTTAACATACGGAATTTTATCCCTTCGAATAGTTGATTATTTCGTAATCTTTGACGGCAAAACATCGTTCATAAAACATAGCCTTTGAGTATTCAACCAATTGGAGAGGCCAGTTAATTCGTTAATTCCTAAACAAAAATTCTGTCAACATCAGGGGGGTGCAAGAAAACCACACAACTGTATACCTAACTACAAATGCAAAATTAAATCGCGTCACTATAAACGCACACTACAGCATTTGTGTTTGTGTTCATCGCTTTTACGCATACCATCAAATTGTACACGTCTCGATACACTGATGGCGCTGTCTAAATGCGTAAGCAACGTAAGGCGTGGACTATGTCGATATTTTTTTATCGATAAACAAATCAACATAGTCCACATAAGTTTTTATTTGATTATAAGTAATATATAGATAAATAATACCAAGGTGTTATTTGAAATTCTTTTTTTAAAGTATTTAGAAATGTTCTTCGGAAAAAAACTTAGAAATGATTGAAAATAAGTTTATTATTTTGCTACAGGTTTATTTTACATTATGCAGGATAAAATTTAAAACATTTAACTAATCGAAATAGGTTTAGTTAACTTATTTTAAAAATCAGATTTGTGAAAAGAAAAGTCCTATCAGTTTATCGTCTTAAATGTTGTTAACCAAGTTTTTGTTTTTATTATATGGCTTTAATCACAAAACCGCCATTTAAAAAAAGTTGTTGATTTTCAAGAGTTATTAAATGAACTATCTGGAAAATATTTAATAATTTAGAAAAACAAAAAAGTTTTACACTATATAATAGTTTAACAAAGTGAACTTTAAGCAGACAGCTGCTTAAAAATAAAACGTGACATCTACATAGGGCTAAGTATTCCCCAGAAAGATGTATTGTTTTAACTTTACGTTACTATTCACCGAAAGCTTAACAATATATGCGAAATATCAAAAGTTTTTAAATTGGTCTGCCTTCATCACATACTATAACAAAGTGGTACAGTACAATTTATAACCGACTTGACTACACAAAAAAAACGTTAACTGTTTTAAAACTTAGACTAGAGAATAACCCTGACAAGAAATTATATTGTACATATAGAGTACCATGCAAGTTCTAAAAGACATTTTGATTATATACATAATGCCTTTGGCTACTAGCATGGTATTCTGTCAATTGCCATTTCATCCATTACCAAGGTGCTATAAAAATTTTAATCAGGGTTACTCTCCGCTCTCAATTTTAATGTCGTCAGTGCTTCTTGAGTAAACCCTGGTCGGCGATCGATGGTAGTGTACCACTTAGCACGTATGTTTCCCTGCACCACGTACATTGGTACGGGGTGCAGGCAAACATGTTCCAAAAGTTTTCGTACGTAGCGATAGGCTTTTGGTTAGTAATAGTTAAGTGTTAGGGCATAGTATTTCTTGCAAACTTGTGGAGCCTGTTTATGCTATTGTTTTTTATGTCAATGCATTTTTTCATTTTAATTTTCTTTGGCCTAAGTGTTGGCTCCTACTCGCAGTGAGAGTAGGACTAGTTCGGGCTATATAAGGAATTTTTTCGAATTGTGTCTATATATATATATATATATATATATATATATATATATATTTAGATATTTATTTTGTAAAACATGAGTAAATAAAATACAAGTGCTAAAAAACTTAAAACGAGCTACATGTTTAGCCATTTATGGCGTACAAAAATAATACTACATTAAGTTTACAATCACAATAATAGCTATATAAATAAATGAATTACATTTGATAGGTTATGCTTTTGTAAACTTAATAAAATATTTTGAAGTAGAATAATATTGGTGTCAAAGGTAATAATAAAAATATTTAATCTAAATATAATTACAGCCAAATATTACCTCCCCCAAGTTCAAGATTGGTACTACAGTGTCAGATTCATGGTTTCTACAAGCTACAATCCATGTGTGCCGCCTAAGAGGATCTCTTGGAAATCTGTAAAAACAAACCAATAATAGAAAAATTTACTACTTTTCGTAATACTTTATTATAAAATCTAAATAAAAACTACAAACCGGTTCGGCAGACAAACCCACAGGGTTAATTAACTTATCGATAGCTAAAGTTGCGGCGTTCATCACTATAGTGAAATACTTTCGGTTGCAGTGATACCAGTTTATTTTTATAAAAAATGCACATGTGCGGGGTAGCAAGTTTCGATTTGACTTATTTGGCATGTATTTTGTATAATATTTTAATAAATACTAGTTATCATTTATATTTAATTATATAATATTCAGTATCGTGTTGAAATTGAGCTGAATATATAAATCATTTAACAAAATCCACTACACATCTATATTTAATGATTATTATTCATCACAAACTGATTTAGTTATTACGAAATATATTTTCGTTAATATATATATATATATATATATATATATATATATATATATATATATATATATTACTTGTGTAGTAAATTATATTTATTTAAAAATAGATTATTTTTCACTTTATGGACTATGATGGCCACACTCGGTATTGGACGATAATATTCACAAAGTACGAATTTTAATGATAAAATTACTTTAATATTATGTTAAAAATACTCACAGATGAAAAGTCAGATTGTCCTTTTGTATACTTGACGGTTTTGATTGTTTTTTTTTTTCACGTAAATACACTGCAATTCGGCATTTTGTCGGAGCTCGAGCTTTACTTGCACGGTCACTTCGGAATGACGCACGACGCGGAGCAACTAGTTTTGTATAACGAGTATGAGTCGGACTCTCGTACCTTTTACAGTGGGGTATGCTTTGCTATGCCGTCTCCTTTGGATTAATACTCAAAGAACATAGCTCATGAAGAACCATGTTTATGAACGATATATCGATGTTTAGATAATTGATGTATCGTTTGCATCCCTAGTCGCTCATCGAGTAAGTGCCCTAACTCCCTTAGTGTTACTACACTGCACGATGGAAGGGCACTGCAGACCGGGTCCACTTTGACGCCCTAATTAGGGACCCTTACTCCCTTTCTCTTATTTCACCACCCTGAATCAGGGCGTAGGGAGCCTGATTCAGGGTAGTGTAATAGGGGTATTACAACTACCTTTACAGGTTATCCTAATACGATATTGTAACTATTCTACATACTATTATTATAACTATTCTATAAGCTATTGTTATTATACGCAATTATTATGAAGTATTGTTACTGACCTTTATATATACACTAGACTGGCTATACCATACAAAATGTCTGTGCCGATTTGAAACGCCACCATTTTTCGTACAGGGAACTAGAAGTGACATAATATGTCAAAGTCTGTATAATATATATAAATTGTATCTCTGTATTTTGAACTTTTAAAGTAAAAATAAAAGTATCTTTTGTGGTTTGATTTTAGTTATATAATAAGAATATTTTTTTTTAATAATGAGTGTGCGTAATATGTAAAACTCGTTACCTAAAGGAAAGTGGTGTAATATTCGACAAGTAAGTGAATTTGTAGCTAATATTAAACAAATTTAAATTTATTTGACAATATAGATACTTAATAATTTGTTTTTATATTAACTTTATAT